ATAGGAGAGCACATACGGTAATATTTTATGAGTTAAGCTTATGATTTTAAGCTTAAATACATTTAAAGTTAAAATATTTCTTTAAAAAACATTTACAAAAAATCTAGAATTTTTGTCAAAAATAAATTCTATTTATAATTTATGTTAATTTTATTAAAAATTAATTATCATGAAATTTTAGTATAATAAATAGATAATATTATTACACTGATATTATAATTAAAATATTAATCATTTAATACAACATAATGAAGATATAATTTTATATTATAGCAAAAGTACAAATATAAATAAAAAATAAAATGTTAAAATTATTATTATATTTTTATATAATATTATATAAAATTGTATATAAATTATTTTTTGACTATTTAACAATATAAATATTTTTATATATTAATAGTACAAAATATTGTATCATTATTTCAATTAAATATCAAACAATAACAAAGTTGTTGTTTCCATATAAATCACGATTATATGAATCCATATGTAAACAAAATATTGTTAATCATTATTATATCACAATAAGTTGCAATAGCGTAGAAAGTTATCAATTATATTAACATATTTCATACTATATGAATAATTAATATAGATTTATGATATTACTATTATTACATAATAAAATAAAAATGTAATAAACTAAAGTTTTAGTTTTATCATTTTAATATATCTAATTAAAAATAATAAATTCATATTTTTGTTATTTCAGGCTACGACACAAAATTATTTTTATATTTATTGCTTGACATTATGTAATTAATTAAGTTATATAATAAATATAATATAAAATCTGGTAATTATTTTTATTTAATAAATAATATAATTATTAGCAGTATATTGAACATTGAGCAAGTATATTATAATTTATAACTACTCAAACATTTATTGTATTTTTAATTTATTTAATTTTGTAAACCTATTGAAAATAAAGTTTTATTAAATGTTAATATTATAGTATATAAATTATATATAGCTTACTGTATATACTGTACTATATATGTTAATATCGCAGTTTTGACAAGTTATTGCTTATAATAAAGTTTAATAAACGTTAATATCTATACAAAATAACTCAAATAACAAAAGATATAATGTTTTATACATTATTTATAAACCACTTATCTATAGTGCAAATGCATATTTACATCAAAATACTGTATAATATTAATAATATACTATTTAATATACAAATATTAAATATTTTATTACATTATCAATTATTAATTATTCTAAGAAATAATAATTATTGTTAAATAAATCTATATTTACGAAATCATTTTATTATATTTTTGTAATTGAAGTAAACAAATATTAAAATTTAATAAATTTTATTATATGTCATATTTTTCTTTATGACATCATCTGTAAATTTTATTATTATTAAAAAAGACATTTAACATAAAAATACAGTAAATATTCATTAATATTAGTTTTTTTACAAAACTTATAAACTTTAAACTAACAAAAATATAGAATTATTATAATAATTTTTAGAAATATATTAAAGTTTGTAAATAACTTTAATTAATTACTTTTTATTAAAATAAAACTAAATAAATAATCAAAAAATAATAATAAAATAAGAAAAAATTGAATTCAAATAAATACTTAAAATACTGTATATAATTTTTTATAATTAAAAATACATTATTTTATTTTATTCAGTAAAATAATTTATGTTTCTACAAAAGCTCATTACTATAGTTAAGTTTTAATTTAATTATAAAATTGAATATTTTTTTGGTTATTTAAAAAATAAAGATAGTCTATAATATAAATAAATAAAATTTAATATTTTTACATAACTAGATAATTCATATTTAAAATTTTATTATAAAAAGTCTCACAAATAAAATTTATTTAACGCAATATCGAAACCACGGATTCCCAGATCAATACAACAAAATATTAATTAATATAACAATTAGTTATAATAAAAACTATATTACAAATAATATTTTTTTATATTATTATAAATAACTTAAACAATAAATTATTAATATAAAGAATTTCTGGATTAAATTATATATTTTTTTTTAATTTTAGTAATTATGTTTGGAATTACATAGAAAGATAACTTATGTTGTTTATTAAGGAATTTAGCATAAAATTAAAATTTATACAATTTATTATATTTATTATATTTTTAAATAAAATTTAAATAATACACTTAAAATACAGCACTATTTATTATAAAATAAACTATAAACTATAAACTATAAAATATTAATCAATCAAATAAGAAAAAAATATTTTAATTAATCTTCACAAGTTTTTAATGAATTGATTGATCTTAGGTTTTAAATGTTTTTTGATTAATTAATAAAGTTGTTAATTATGTATTCTTTAACATTTTTATGTGCTATTTTAAAGGCAGTTGTTATTATAATTATTTAAATTATCAAAATATTTTTCAATTAACTTTAATATTATTACTACTGTACAGAATAATATTTTAATTTGTTAATATTAAATTATGATCTAAAAATGAAAAATATTTATAATAAAGTAATGTAATTAAATTTTTTATATTACTTTATATTAGTATTTCATTATAAATATAAACGATAATTAAATTCTAAATACAATCATATTTTAATGCATTCGCTTGAGTAAATAAAAATGTTTTCTCAATTTATTAAAATTTATTAATTTTTTTTACAAACTAAATACAATAAATGTTAGGATTTGTATCACAAATGCAAATACAATCATTTATTTCTATTAGTATATCCTTATGTTTTAATAAGATTAATAATATGTCACTCAAATAGACTCTAATCCACTGATATTAAAAATTATTTGCTGAGATTTTGAGGCTTTAAAAAAATCTAGATTAACGGTGTCATCAAACAGTAAATTAAATTATTATAGTTTAACAAAATTATATAACAAATTGTTGATAATAAGTTACATTTGTGTTACTAATATTATATGACTAATTAATTATTTTAACACAAATTTCGAATTTTGTAATCATTTTTGAAAAAGTTTAAATCAAACCTATAATCTTTATTTTAAATCACTTGTTAGTATATATTTACACAGTATATATAATATAATATTATATATATTATTATAATTACTATATATTTATATACCGTATATAAGGAGATACAAACAAGATATATATAAAGTAAATTTAATTCAATATATTTTATAAATAAACCAAAATATTATGACAAAATGTTTTGTTTTCATATTTATCTAAATATTATTTAATTTATTATATTTTAATAATTAATTATAAATTAATAAAGAATTAGTTTAATCTAAACTAAAAGACCTATTTATAACTTATTTGAATATATTGATAGTTCATAATTGAAATATACAACAATTAAAAAAATACTAATAACTTACCAAAATATTGAATAAGCTTACATTGAACAACTAATTATTTATTAAAAAGTTTGCTATTTTTTATTTTACTGTAGTTTTATATTATTATATAAAATATTTTAATAGTTTATATAATAAAACAATTTTATTTGTATAAAATAAATAATTTTTGCAATGATTTTAAATAAAAGAGTAATAATAACAAACTACTGTTACTCTGAGATTATTTTAATGAGAAATATTTAAATATATTTTTTAAAAGTAAATCTTATGTCACAGATTTGTCACTAAAACTGTACAAACATTTATTACAACCCAATTTGTAGGTTGTATTTATATGGTTGTAGTTTTTTGAAATCAAAAATAATGTGAAATAGACATTAAGTCCTATAATATTAAAGAATATTCTGTAATACTGTATAATAATATTAGACAATACAAACAGTAAACGAATTTTATGCTCAAAACAGCGTTTGCGTCAATTAAGGCACAAAATATGTGAAAAGTTTTTGATTTTTTATTTTTTAGATTCATTTATTCAGAATATTTCTCTTCTGAATTCATTTATTGTTTAATACATTATAGAAATATATAGATATATATAACTAAGAGTGTTGCAGATATATAAATCTTAAATACAAAAAATAGTAACAAATTTTGTAATATTTTACTAAAACAAAGTAATAACATTGTTGTTAACTTAAAACAATGAACTCTAATTTTAGCATTTTTTTTGTGCCAACATTGGTTTAAATCAATAAATTAAAATGATTTTATTATAATATTTAATTCTATATTTAAATTAAGATCCAAATAATTAAGTAGTATCTACTACTGTATATCTGAAACTAATATTAAATAAAATTTATTTTTAAATTATACAATCATTTTTTATATACAATAGCTATTAATGAATTTAATATAATCCAAAAAATAATATCTAAATGACATCACATTTATTACTTTATCAGTTAAAAAACATTACAATTGATTATTCAATTTGTATGTAATTTGCGGTTACAATGCATAACATATCTGAAGGTTTAGTAATAATAATTTGTTTACAGTTTTAGTCACATATAATATTTGATTGTTTTTCATTTCTTATCAAATCATATGAAATATGATTGCGTGCGGACAACACACTAGAGTGAACACAATTGCGTGAATCGGCCACTCATTTGGTAACAATAGGCCTTATGTATGGACCATAAAGATATAATAATTGGGAAATAACTTATCCATTATTTGTTTGTTGAAAAACTACTTGAGATTTCTCATGTGGTTTAGGATGTGATTCTGATAAGGCTTAAGTAAAAGTAAGACATATAATGTATATGATATTATCAAAAATATGAATCATTTCACAAAAAAAAATAAAACAATCAATTATACGAAATTGAAAATATTGTATTATAGATATGCTATATTATGACATTTAAAGAACATATAAAACTGTATATAACTAAAAAACATTATTTTAAATTAATCTTATATTTAATCAATTGAAATGTTTTTTAAAATTAAAAATAAATTTGTGAATTGAATGATAAGATTAAATTATTTTTTAAATTTTATATATTAAAAAGTTTAAAAATATATTACAAATCTTTAATTAAATAAAAATGTAGAAAAATTTAATCCAAAAATAATTACAATTTTTTGTTAGTCTCTTTTAGCCATTCCCTGGCAATTATGATGCGCTGTATTTGTGCGGTTCCCTCATATATCTGAAATATTTTCGCGTCTCTCATCAGTTTCTCGACCGGATATTCACTGCTAAAACCCGCGCCACCGAAAATCTGGACGGCATCGGTGGCCGCTTTGTTGGCCACATCACCGGCCAAGCATTTTGCAATTGATGCCCAGTAAGTATTTTGTCTACCGTTATCGTAAAGCCAGGCGGCTTTTTGGATAGCCAGTCGCGCCGTTTCAACACCAATAGCCATATCGGCTAACATAAATTGGATGGCCTGATGCCGATTAATGGGAACGCCAAATGTTTTCCTTTCAAAACTCCATTTGGTCGCCTCGTCGAGTGCTCGCTGAGCTAAACCAATAGCCGTTGCACCTACATGTGCTCTGGTCAAGTCAAACGCACCCATAGCTATTCTAAATCCCATTCCCTCTTCAGCCAAAATATTTTTCTTGGGAATGATAACGTTATCAAATGTTACGCCACGAGTGTCAGCACATCTTTGACCCATATTAAGCTCTTTACGTCCCGGACTCACACCTGGACTGTCAGCTCCAACAATAAATCCAGTAAATGCTTTATTTGCCGGCGCTTTCGGGTCGGAATGAGTTCGGGCTAATACAAAGTACCAATTGGCAACTCCGCCGTTAGTTATCCACATTTTCTGTCCGTTAAGAACATAGTCGCCATCTTTATTCTTGACGGCCTTTGTTTTAACACCATTGACATCACTTCCAGTTCCCGATTCTGTCACACAATAAGCGGCATTTAAGACCTCCGATCCCGTCATTTGTCCCAAAAACTCTTTTTTCTGTTCGTGATTTCCAAACAAAATTACCGGTGATTGCGGTAAAGAGTTTGAACTGATGGCTGTCCCAATACCAGTACATCCATAACCTAAAGCTTCGCCTGTAATTTGATATATTTATTTGTATATAATATACAAATAAATACATTTATATTTATAGACTTAATACCGATAAGACACGTATCAAATAGAGAAAGTCCTGGTCCGCCATACTCTTGAGGAATGCTTGTATTTCTGAGTCCTAATTCGTGTGCTTTTTTGACGACATCCCAGGGAAAGTCACCTGTTTTGTCGTAATCAACGGCTTTAGGTATGATCTCCTCTTTGGTAAACTTTTGAGCCAACTCTTGCAGTGACTTTTGCTCGGATGTCAACTCAAAGTTAAAACCTTTTTCTGATTGAACTCTTTCTGCACTCAATTTAATCGGTTGTGTATTAAATGTACGAATGATTACATTATTTGAATAATATTTAGCATTTGATAACAACAGTTGTGATACTTTTGAAGACATTTTGGATGTAAATTATTAGTTAAAGTTCTGGAGTGGATTCGCAAACAGATCGCATAGTGTTCGCAGAGTAAATGTAACGTAAGTGCGTTCACAAAAACATCGCTAAGCGTAAACTTACGTTACGTTTACGCAAGAGTTGCGAACAAAATATAAGTCGTACGTACATACATACGACTTATTATTTTGCAAAATAAATAAAATCGTACGTATTTTATGTATTTTTACGACATGTATTTACTTGTCGCAAAATAAAATAAATTACAATAAATGCAGACATTTCACCGAATATTTCACTTTCAAAACCGAATATATTTTTTTATTAAATTTATTACAAAATTATAATATTTTTTAATTATATATGTCTTGGCTAATAATTGTGGCCGAAAATGGCGAGCCTGTCCCAAAGAAGATAATCTTCAAGGATAGACTCAATCCATTGGAAACGCTGAGCGATGAAGAATGTATACAGCGTTTCCGAATGGACCGCACAACAATAGTTGACTTATGTCAACTATTGTATGAAGATTTAGTGCGGCCCACAAGAAGACACGGAGCGCTGCCAGTTATTACACAAATATGTGCAGCGCTCCGTACCTATGCCCAGGCGGCTTTTTATCGTGTGACAGGTGATAGTGTAGGCATGAGTAATGCTGCACTATCAGAAACTGTCCACACGGTAGCCGCTGGGCTTAGCCGGCGTGCGGGAAATTTTATTAAATTCCCGCAAACACCGGCTGAAATAGGCAAAACCAAAAATGGATTTATGGCTATCGGGCGATTTCCCAATATGTTGGGTGCAATTGATTGCACCCACATAGAGATACTTTCGCCCGCAAAAGAGATCGAAGCCTCCTACGTTAACCGTAAAGGATGGCATTCGATCAATGTTCAAGCGGTTGCAAATGCAACGCTTGAATTTACTAATGTCTTGGCAGCGTTTCCAGGCAGAGTTCATGATTCATTTATATGGACTCAATGCCATTTGAAACGCCGCCTAGACAATAGCCATATTAATGGATGGCTATTAGGGGACGCGGGCTATCCCCTAGAGCCGCATCTCTTAACGCCGTACGGTAATCCTATTACCGAACAGCAAAAGAGATATAATTCGGCTCATTCAAAAACCCGTAATACCATCGAAAGGGCATTCGGGGTATTGAAAATGAGATACCGCTGTCTAGACAAGACATAAATATAACTAATTATATAAAATTATTATTTTGTATTTATATTAATAAATTTTTTTTAATTAATTTTTGTATTTATTTATTTTAATTTCAATAAAATATTTTTTTAAAACTAATATTTGTATTTATTTATTTTTAATTTTAATAAAATATATTTTTAAAATAAATATTTGTATTTATTTATTTATTTTGTATTGTAAAGTTCATTAAATGACTTAATATCTTCATTTATATCGAAGTTTTGCGCCGCCAAAACGCGAAGATTAGCGCTTAACTTTATGCGTTTTAAGGCCACCATTTCACGAGCAATGGCCACTTTTTCACGCTCGATTTCAAGTACCGATTCTGCATGAGCGGATGTAACGCGATCTTCATTTACTTGATGTTTGCGTTTTTTGAAATTTTTAAATATTTCAAATTCACTATCAGTTTTCTCTTTGTTTTCTGATAGTATATTATGTGATTGGTCATCACGTATTTTTGTGGTTCGATTTGACGAATAATTTGTCGCAATTGTTGAAGTGTTGTCAATAATAGTGATATCTGAAATAGTTTCAGTATCACCATCTTCAATAATGCCATTAATTGTTTGAGGATTCATTGTTGATAACAATGATTCCTCCAATGGCATTAATTGAGGGGCATTGTTTGGTCCGCCGCCAGTCATTTGCCGCTCCAAACGATGTTTTGATGCTTTGGCGCGGACTTTAGTTTTTTGGTCGATCAACTGTTTTTTTACTTGTCCAGTTGACCTTCCTCCAAGACTGGCGGCATTGACTTCAGCCGTAATTTCAGCCCAAGCTTTGGCTTTTTTATCGGCCGTTAATGTCGGCCCAAACTGTAAATAAACAATAGTTTAGTGATTTGTGTTAATAATTGTTTGAATTGTCAACAAAATGATGAAATCAGCGAAAAGTTGAGACAATTTAAGTGTCAAATGAAGACATTTAGACTTACCTTTCCATCAATTATTAGTTGCCGACTTTTGTAGCCATTTATTAAAGCGGCCAATTCATCGCTGTTCCAATTGCGAGCACGTGTTTTAAGTTCGGGTGAAGTCATAATTAAATTTTTAAAGTAAACGTTTCTATAGAAACAACACTTATGCTAACAATGTGCATAAAAACTTTTTGTAAATCCATTTAAGTTACACATATATACTATGCGTAAACGTAGTGTAAGATATACATTTACGTATACCTCTACAGTGAACCCACCCCAGGTATTATATATTTTTTTCAATAATTTAATAAAAATTGTAGAAATAAAAAAAAATTATTCAATATAAGTACAACTATATAAAATTATTAAATATAATGCAAAATCTTATTTTTAAATCTCATTTAACTTTACATATGTACTCATTTGTACTAATATATGTTTATTCAAACAAAAAAATTATATGATTTTTTAATAAAGTATTAATATATAGTAATACTATCACAATCAGGGTTGAAAAAATACAAGGTTTTCAATTTTGGCTTTGTAAAATACAGTAAAATACAATGTACTGGACGTATTTTACAATTATAGAAAAATTACATTAACAATAATAAAATATTTATTTTTTTTATTAAAATTATATAATTTCAATATCGTTATTAGAATCGTTGTTTTCTAAAACTATTAAAAATTAATATTAATTATTTTATTAATATATTTCAATACCAGAATTAAATTGAATAGTTAATTTCAAATTTTTTCAAAATAAAAAAATTATTATTATTACAAAACATGTGTTTGTTTGTGAATTTTAGTATTTTTGTTACTAGGTGGCGTTAATTTTTTTTTGTAAGCCAAAATTGTCATGTAATTTACATTGTATTATACTGTATAATACGCTTTGTATTATACATACACTTTGTCTTTGCCAACACTGACAATATATTAACAATATAGTAATTATTATTTTATATTTACGTCATCTAACAAAGAAAAAATATAAAAATAATTAATAGTATTTAAATTAATTTATATTATTATTTATGATAATTAGTGTAATTGTTTTTAAAAATACCTTGATCAATTTTTAAAAGAGATATTTTACAGCTAAATATATATTGAACTTTTACTATAATAAAATTAATATCTGTTTTGATCTAAATCAAGGATTTTCATATTTCAATGTTCAATAAAATATATGATAACATTGTATTAAAAAATATATATTTATTTTTATATGATTAATAAACAAGGCTAAAAATATTAAATTAAAACTATTTAAAAAAACTAGTTAAACCCATTTACAGTTTACGTCTTAAACCCATAAATACATGTTTATATAAATTATTTAAGTTATATATAGTATATATTAGTATAATTATACTAAAACATAAAAATGCAATACATGATTGATGATATTGTATTTTGAATAATGAATATACTAATTTTATAAATATATTTAAATTTATATTTAACACAATAATTATTTTTAATTTATTTATATTAAACTTCAAATTAGTCTAATTGAATTTATTTTAATTATATTTTTAATTAAACATTTGTTTTAATAAAGTATAAAATACAATATACTTTAATACTGTTTAATATTTTTATAAACCGTCATTTTTATAATATCAATAAATAAAAATATTTTATAATTATTAATAAAACTATAATTCTTTTACATTTTTATTTTTACAAATTACAATTATATGAATTAAATAATATATTAAGTTAAAAATTAATTTTAACTATTAATATTTTATTTGCACTTTAAAAAAAATAATATTACATTTTAATAGGAAAATAGTTAATAATAATTTATAAGGAAATTAAGTATAAAGCAAGGATTTGTTTCAATTTATAAAAAAAGTCATTCAATTAATAGATATATTGTACGGTATTATCAATTTTTACTCATTTTTAAAGTATATCTAAACATAAAAGAAATTTACAAATATCTGACTACAACTGAGTACTTATTTACGCAAAATCAGTGATAACAGAGTTGATTGAAATTAGATATCATATAATTAAACATTAGTTTTATTATTTTCATTGATTTGTTTTCATTTAAAAACTAGTAAAATACTAAACAGTTTTGACAAACAAATACAGGTTTATATTAGTATATATTAATAAAAATATATATATATATATTATTATATATACTGTATATAAGTTATATGTGTATAAGTTATAAATATTGTAAATAAAATGAATTCATTTATGTCAATATGTTTTCGGACAAATTTAGTGAAAAAATCAAACTTTTTGACAAATACTGTATTGAATCGATTGAATAGCACTTTAAGTGATAGTGGTTTTGGATTTGAGTTAACGGCAGAACAAAAATCATTACAAGAATTGGCTCAAAAGTTTGCCAGAGAGGAGATCATACCTAAAGCCTCTCATTACGACAAAACGGGTGACTTTCCCTGGGATGTCGTCAAAAAAGCACAAGAAGTTGGTCTCAGAAATCTAGGAGTTCCTCATGAGTATGGAGGAGGAGGACTATCATTATTTGATACATGTCTTATTGGTAAAGATTAACTATTTATTATTAAAATATTGATAAATTATTTTATAGATATTATTAAATATTATTTCTATTATTATTTTGAATTTTAGTCTATTTTGTATTATAATAGAAAAATAAATACAGTATTTGTTTAACTTAATTAATAAATTACATTAATAACCTTGTATTGCAATATTTTGAGATTTTAAAAATATGATAAATTAATTTTGAATATATAAATACATTATTTTTTAATAAATAATGTATTAATTCATAATACAGTAAATAAACAGTTTATTTATCACTAAACTAATCAGTTAATAAATTATTATATAATAAATTTAGTTATTAGTATTAATTAGTAATAATAGTATTTTTTTTAATTTTATGAAAAATTCATAAATATTTGATTTGAATATTAATAATTAGGCGAAGAATTAAGCTATGGTTGCACTGGTATTCAATCTGCTATTTCATCGACTGGTTTAGCTCAGGCACCGGTCATAATGTTCGGTAATTCCGAACAAAAGAAAGAATATTTGGGTCGTATGACTGGTTCAGATGTTTTATGTGCTGCCTATTGTACTACCGAACCGGGAGCCGGCAGTGATGTGGCCGGTATTCAGACCAAAGCTATCAAAAACAAAGATGGAGATTACGTGTTAAGCGGACAGAAAATGTGGATCACTAATGGAGGAGTGGCCAACTGGTACTTTGTATTGGCCCGTACTAATCCTGACCCGAAAGCTCCAGCGGGAAAAGCATTTACTGGATTTATAGTAGAAGCCAATAGTCCTGGTGTAGTTCCCGGCCGTAAGGAAATAATGATGGGTCAGAGAGCTTCCGATACGAGAGGTGTTAGCTTTGAGAATGTGGTGGTTCCTAAAAATAACATAATTGGTTCGGAAGGAATGGGATTCAGAGTTGCTATGGGGGCTTTTGACTTAACACGAGCACCGGTTGGTTGTGGTGCTGTTGGGTTAGCACAGAGAGCTTTTGACGAGTCTACTAAATGGAGTTTCGAGAGACACACTTTTGGAGTACCTATTCATCAGCATCAAGCCGTCCAATTCATATTAGCCGATATGGCTATCGGTATTGAGACGGCTCGATTGGCTGTCCAGCGGGCCTGTTGGGAGTACGATAACGGTAGACCCAATACTTATTGGGCATCGATAGCCAAATGTTGGGGCGCCGATGTGGCCAATAAAACAGCTACTGATGCCGTACAGATTTTTGGTGGCGCGGGTTTTAACAGTGAATATCCCGTCGAAAAACTAATGAGAGACGCGAAGATTTATCAGATTTATGAGGGAACCGCTCAAATACAACGAGTTATAATTGCACGCGAAATGCTATCGGAGGCCAAAAAGACTATTTAATTTATTAATCAATTTGTTTGAATGTATAATACAATGATTTATATTGTCTACAAAATATATATTTTAAATAACGTTAAAGTTTTTATTACAATAATTAATATAATAGTATGTTTATTTGTAACGCATTAAGTGTTTTTAAGCAAAAAAAAGTCAATTTGTTACCAGGTTTTATCACATATCTTAACGATACCATTGTTACCATTGTTAGCACCAGTTATCTTAAATAGTTTTGTTGTCAATACTTTTTTCAATATATTGATAAACAGCTTATATGATAACTAATACTTAAAGGATCTCAAAAAAATAGTAACACATTAGGAATTTGTATATTAAATAGTAAAATATCTATATATCGTCTTTCAATTTATTTAACATAAATAAATTAGCTATTTTCACAAATATAAATAAATTTTATTTTAAACAAGCAGATTTTATGTTTATTGAATATTCTTATTTTTAAAATGAAAATCTTAATAATTTTAAATATATTGATAATATTAGTTGAGTTATCTATTTGTCAATATTCAAGATTTGACAATTGTGGTCAACTAAAAGATCCAACAAAAGTACCAAAAGATGTTAAAGAATATAAATGGTTGACATTAATTAAACACGAGTCCAGTACAAGACACTGTATCGGAAGTATTATAGACGATAAATGGATATTAACAGCGGCCAGTTGTCTGCCCAAACATAATGAACCATATAATTACAAAGTGACAACACCCAATCTACCCAATCAACAATTATCTGTCGATAAAGTATGTATTAATACAAAATTAACTTTGATTAAGATTTTTAGATTATATCCATATATTGCTTCAGTATATTATTGTATTATTGTATTACTGTTAAAATTCAATAGAATTTTTAAATATTTTGCCAAATTTAATAATTTCCGATAACTTATTTGTATTACAGTATCACTTCTATTAAGCTTTTTCTAGTATTTATTTATAGATTTTAATTACTATAATTCAGTAACTTTTATATAAAATTGTGAAAAGTTAACAAAATGTTAACAAATATTAATTGGATTTAAAAATATAAATTAAAATTGTTTTAAACGAGAGAGTCTTAAACAGCGGCGCCGACGACGACAGCGGCGATGCTTTTAATTTCAATTATCTGGTCAACAATACGCTGGATTTAAAAGTGACCAAGGGCAATGTTGTAGATAAATTTAAACTGGATAAGTTTGTAATTGGCCATTTTTTAATTAATTGCATCATTGGCTTTATAATATACAGTCGACTATCATTTTTATAATTTTTTAAAGTCGACTGTATATTATGTAGCCAATGATGCAATTAATTAAAAAATGGCCAATTACAAACTTATCCAGTTTAAATTTATCTACAACATTGCCCTTGGTCACTTTTAAATCCAGCGTATTGTTGACCAGATATTTGAAATTAAAAGCATCGCCGCTGTCGTCGTCGGCGCCGCTGTTTAAGACTCTCTCTCTCTCTCTCTCTCTCTCTCTCTCTCTCTCTCTCTCTCTCTCTCTTTTAAACGGGTATTTTGTTTATATAATAGATAGTGAAAAATCCAAAATACAATCCAACATTAGGTGCCGGCTATGACTTGGCTTTAGTCAAACTGAGAAATAGTTTGCAATTAAAACAAAACAATGAATTGAAACCAATTTGTTTGGCTGAAGAAGATTTGAAACTAAAAATGACTGACGAATCAGTTTGTTATATATTAAGTTATGAATACAAAAATGAAAACATTGACACAACACCTATATTTACACCACAATTAAAATTTAAATATAATAAAGATATTGATTGTAAACAACAAATAATAGCAATGTTTTACACCGATAATTATAATGATAAGTATATGTTATGCGGACAAATCCAATCACTGGACACCACCAAAACTATATTACCTGCGGCACCGTATGGTAATAACGGAGCACCCATTGTGTGTGAAAATAATGGTAAACTTTATTTGATGGCAATAACATCGTGGGGTTGGACTGAGAAACAACAAAAAGATATATATAAAAATCAACTCAAATGTGACGCCTATACTAAACTGTTTGATAAAACTTATATCAATTGGATTATTAAAACATTAAATGTTTTAGAAGATTAACTCAAAATATATAATCACATAAAAAATGTAATATTATTTTTTTCTAACAATTTTACTAATTTTAAATTATTAATAAAACAATTTGAAATATTATGTTTTTATTATAAAAAATTTATTTATTTTTAATAAATAAGAATTAATTTACAAAATGAAGAAAATAAATTCTAAATCCTTTATAATAAATATTATTATTTTTTAAATATAAAAATGAATAATTTGTAAATGTTTCAAAATAAGTTCAGACAACACATAGAGTTTGTTTACAATATAATGATTAAGAAATACAATATACTAATTAATACTAATATACAGTATTATCAACCAACTAATGTAAGTTAAATTGTTTATATTATAAACAACAAAAATTTAAATAGTTATAAATGTAATTAGATTAAATGATTTAAATTAATTCCTAGTTTAAAATGAGAACATAATGTATTGTGTATAACATTAAACAAAAACAATTTATGTTATTTCTAATTATCTAAATTTGAAAAAAATATTTTCAACTAAAATAAAACAAATTATGAATTAATAATTGAAAAAAACTTAAATTAGTTGTCTAAGTAATAGAAAACTTATCTTTTAGCCTAACTCATATGATACTAATTGTATATAATTTATTAATTATTTGTTTGTAATCAAATTAATATTCAAAAAAATTGAGTAAAAAGATTGTAAATTTTATTTAAGAAGCCATACAACTCATGGTATAACTCATAGGAAGTAATCCGGTTGTGGTTTCTTTGACGGTACTCCTCGACTCTCCTATAGATAAATATATAATAAATTTAAAATTAATGTATTCAACAATAATTTTAAATAAAATTAATGTAAACAATACCTGTGGCGCGGCTTCAAAAATAGTAAAATCTCGGTGCAAATTTTCATCCAACTCTAAAATAGCGGCCACATTACCGCAACGGTAACAATAGTTAGGTGCCGACCATACTGTCAAAACTGTTTCGTTAAAATGCCACTTAAAGCCCTCCATTACGAGTTGATGTGCTCTACAAATCATATCTAAATGGTTCGTTGCATTGAACTGTGCGACCACATCTGATCCAAACAGATAGCCAGCACCTCTGGGAGATACACCCCATCCTTGTGTGTCCTCAGGATCTGACCATAAAAGGTCACACATGGGTCCATCGTGTGGTACTTCTTGTTTGCGATCAATGACTCTGATTTGATCTAATGTTTGAATGGATGGACTGAGACCTCCGTGAACACAAAATATCTGCATAAATAAAAATTATTAACTATTTATTGGATATTAAACATATAAAAATCATACCTTTCCATCTATAATGGCTGAGAGGGAGAGATAATCAAATATTTCGGTACAATATCTCCAAACGGTGATTGAGCCATACTTTCTGAGACATTCATCATAAAAACCGTAGACTTGTGTTATTTGTCGTGACTCATGATTACCACGGATTAAAGTAATGCGATCCGGATATCGTACCTAATTATCAAATGTATCAATAAATCATTAATATATCAGCAAAAAACTAAATTATAAATTAAATGCATTAAACATACCTTAAGTGCTAACAATAAAAGAAAAGTCTCGACTGAGTAGAAACCTCTGTCGACAAAGTCTCCCATAAATAGATAGTTAGTGTCGGGAACATCACCACCAACTTTGAACAACTCCTTCAGGTCATAAAACTGGCCGTGAATGTCACCGCATACCTGTCCAGTCATTTAAAAATAATAATTATTATTTATAAAATGTCAAAAATAATATTTATTTCTATTGTGTAATAAATTTAAACCATTCAATGATATATACAATAGTTATCAATCAGTTATCATCACTTCAATGACTTATAATAAATCATAAGTTTGATTATTATAATCATTAGATAAAAAATATGATATTACTATTAAAACATAATATAATATTATATAAAATAATTTATATATTATATTCATATATTAATAATAATTAATTTATAATATAATTAGATATTATTATTAAATATTTAAATGACAAGTAATTAATAAGTGATTAATTAATTAATGATAATCTATATGAATGGATGGGTATTATAGTTATAATTATGACATACCGTGACGGGTGCGTCCACTCTCTGGACATTAGACTCCTCGATGAGTATCTCTCTGGCTTTGGCACAGAGACTCTTGACTTCTGACTCTTTGATTATCTCACACCTCCTGAGTTGATCTATCTGTCGGTCCAAATCGGAAGAACTGGCCAAAGGTGTTGCCGATGATAATAGTGAGTCATTATTATTCTTGTCGTTACTGTTGCTGTTGTTATTGGTATTTATCAGTTCATTATCACTACCGCTGCGGTCACTACCACTTGACGTATCGGTCCTCGACTTCTTCACTGCTGAACTCTCTTCGCATTTATTATCACTCAATTCAGAGTTATTATTGTCACAAATGGTTTCACTATTATTGTTATCACCACTGCTTTCATTGGTAGTGTCGTTACCACTGCTGACCACTGAATCTCCGTTTGAAGACATAATTGGCAGTCAATTGTTGTAATGATATGAAGCACTCAATTGGTGTCACAAAACAAACACAATATTTATATACAAATTAACACTAAATTCAATGCAATTTCAGTGTTCACTGCAATCAACACAACGTTTCCATTGAATTATCGCTCATTTCATTAGTGCTTCAATTACTACATATAGACATCAATTACGTCAATCATTGCATTTATACAGTCGACTCTCACTATAATATATTTTAATATTTAAATTATTTATTTTATAATTATTATTATTTTAAATTGTTTTATGGTTTTAATATATAACTAAACATATAATTTATAAGTAAAATATAAGATGTTTGTTATGAGAAAATTTTAATAAAATGTAATTTATATATTAATTATAAAAATTAATATCAATAGTAGTTTGTAGTTTGCAGTGACTATTAATGAATGTATAAGTTTGTTGAATGCATTGTTTGTATTGTATTTGTATTATATATGAAGTGATTGATTGTGAGATCGTATCCGATGTGAGCGCACAACTCGTTTGAATGACAGTCACAACAATAACACAAACACTCCTAACATAACACAAGCCATAGCCGCGGGTCAGACCTGACAGACCAGTCATGGGTAACATACATACGGTGGGACCGAACGAGTCTCTGGTGGTGTCGGGCGGATGTTGCGGGTCGACAAAGAAACAGTTGGTAGTGGGCGGGTGGGCGTGGGCATGGTGGATGGTCACTGATGTACAACGATTATCACTTGAAGTTATGACACTATCACCAAAATGCGAAAGTGTCGAGACCTCACAGGGCGTACCATTAACGGTGACGGGTGTGGCCCAGTGTAAAGTTATGACCGAAAAGGAGTTCCTCACGATAGCCGCCGAACAGTTTCTCGGCAAAAGTGTTGATCACATCAAATGTGTTATACTTCAGGTTTGGACACACTTTTCTACATAACAAATGGTCGACACGTTTCATGATTTGATATTTTTTTTAATTGACAGACACTTGAGGGTCATTTGCGGGCTATTTTGGGAACACTAACTGTCGAAGAAGTCTATAGAGATAGAGACCAATTTGCATCTCTAGTCAGAGAAGTTGCCACTCCTGATGTCGGCCGAATGGGTATTGAGATCTTGTCATTTACTATCAAAGATGTTTACGATAACGTCGAGTACTTGGCCTCATTGGGAAAGGCCCGCACGGCGGCTGTTAAACGAGACGCCAACGTTGGTGTGGCTCAGGCCGAGAGAGACGCCGGCATACGGGAGGCTGAATGTGAAAAGTCGTCAATGGATGTCAAATATGGGGCGAACACTAAAATTGAAGACTCGCTCAGACAGTATTCACTACAAAAAGCACAGTTTGATTCAGAAGTGAATTCCAAGAAAGCTGAGGCACAGTTGGCTTATGAGTTACAGTCCGCTAAAATGCAACAGAAAATTAGAAACGAAGAATTGGAAATCGAAGTCGTGGAAAGGTATTTACATTTTATATACTTTCTATACTTTAAATTACATTTGAGTTTTACTTAAATACTTTTAGGCGAAAAGATATTGCAGTCGAAGAAAAAGAGATTTTAAGAAAAGAAAAAGAATTGATTTCAGATGTCAGACTTCCGGCCGATTTCGAGGCCGCAAAACTTGAGCTCATAGCTCAGGGCAAGAAATACCAAACTATTGAGGCCAGTCGTGCCGATTCTCAAAGAACTAAAGTGATTGGCGCCGCAGATGCCTACGCCATTGAGGCCATTGGTAAAGCAGAGGCCGAACGGATGCGTATGAAAGCAGCCGCTTATAAACAATATTCAGACGCTGCCATACTGTCCATTACACTCGAAGCACTGCCAAAAGTATGATAAACTTTAAGCTTTCATTAAGTTTTTTATAATTATATTAATTTGTTGTTGTGTTAAGATTGCCGCTGAAGTGGCCGCGCCTTTAGCCAAAACCGATGAAATTGTTTTAATTAATGGACCGGAAAGTGCTATCACTAGTAGTGTCACTCAACTCGTGTCACAAATACCTCCTACCGTTCACGCGCTAACTGGTATTGACTTATCAAAGGTTTGTTATACAGTACTATATTTATATTGTTTGTAATATTTAATTTGTTTAAAACTATTTGTATAACCGCTATAATACATCATTTTTTATAACATTTATAAATTGTTTTTCAGGTTTTAACCAAAATTCCGGGCGCCAAATGATTATCAATGTTTACTACAGTACTGTATAAAACAAACTAACTTATACTCAAGTATTTAGTCAATATAATTTTACATATAATTATATATATATATATATATTTTTATTTGAGATTTAATATTTTATAACAATACTATCAATTTTTGGTTTATATTTTAGTTAATTTTATTTGAGTCTCAAAAATTATTTACCTGTACTATTATTAAGTTATAAACAAAAATAATAACATAAAATGTTATTATTTGTATTTTTAATATTACTGGTATTTATTTTGTTATATATTCCAGCATAATATATGATTTATTTATAGTTTGTTAAAACACTAATTTTATAGAAAAGGTTGACAAATGGAGTATTTGACTTAAAGTATTGAAACAAATATAAAAACAATGAATTTCATAATTTTTTATACCATATTATTTGCTTAAAACTACAAGTCATTATCAATAACAACAAAAATTGTAATTATGTCTCATATTGTTTAAAGTACTTGTAATATAAATATTATGATCTGATATCTGTAATGAATGAACAAAATAAGTATTGTTTCATTTGATGTCAATTTACTCAATACATTTGCAATGAATAATATTGTTATCTTTATTATAGCCAATAATTCCATATTTTATTTAAGACAATTATTTTATATACAATATATGATTGATATGCAAAATATCGCTTTTATACAATAATAAAGTACATAAAATATTTGTAATTTTTTTTAATAATTTCTAATAATAATATTTATATTAAATTTCTCCATTTGTTTTTTATTAAACATATTTTGTTAAAGTTGTAGACGATTTTGTTTTTTATGTTATATTATTTATTTTTTGGATTGTTTTGTATTTTTAATTGATATAAATGCCAAATAAAAAGATTTCTTATTTACGGTAATATTATTTATAAGTTAAATGTTTTTTTATGACAATTTTAATATTTAACGAATTATAATTTATTGAAATTATGGTTTAAAATTAAATTTTGTTATATTTTTTTGTTGATTATATTTTATGTATTGAATACAAATTTGTCTTTCAGTCTATCCGAGCTACACATGCCTTACCAAAACATCAATAATACTGTATTATAAGTATTTTATAATAAATCATCAAAAATGTTACACTTTTTGAATTACAAAATTATATATGTAATTTAGCAGACAATTTATTTTAATAAATAATTTTAAATTACATTTTGGGTAATATCTACAAACAATATAAGTAATGTGAATACTAAGATAACTGCCAAATACTGTACAAGTAATATACTGTAAATTATGTGCTGTACTGTACATTACATTAGCAAATAACTCATAAAATATAACATTATATAAATTTATTGTTTTACTGTATTTTAAAACCTACATTACATTTAAAATAATAAATCTTGAACCATAACAGATAAGATACAGTATTTTACCAAAAATATTATTTTAAAAATATTTTTACATTTATGAATTTATGCTTAACTAATTTTAATTAAATAACACATTTAAACTAATTTATTTACATTTACCCAATTCTACAGTATTAGTCTATAGTTATGAAAAAAATTATTTTTATTTACAAATAGTTCAAAGTTACCGACAATTAATATACAGTATAATATCGTATACAGTATTTACCGGTATATTGCCCTTAAGTCTGTTGATTCCTAATATAATTATTGTATAATCAAATTGTTTTAAAGATAATCTAAAATTTAAATAATCACTAAAATTATTCAAAAAAATTTCAATAAACTAATAATTTTAATATTATATTGAAATAAAATAAAATTAAATAAAAATTAAATTTTGACAATTTTAAATTAATTAAATTGAATCAATTCCGATATGATTGAAGCATTTGGTGGACACGTAAAATGTTGATTGTATTTATAAAATAATTTAAAATTATTTGGACTTACTTTTGTAAAATTATAAATAAATTAAGTAATTTTAATCAAATTTGTAAAAGTTATAACTTATTATATTAGCCCTTAAAATAGATGATAACTTAGTTAATGTTGTTTATAAATTATTTTTCATATTTATTGATTTTTTATTTATACATTAATGATATAATGGGTGTATAAAAATGTTCACATGGAGATTGATTAATATTTTTTAAAACTTAATTTATCTATTCTGTATTATCTATGAAATATACAAAATAAACATTTTAATTAGTCTCAATTAAATCACATGCTATGTTATCAACAATTGAATTTATATTTTTACATTACAATAGTTTATCATTGTTTTAATAAAATAGATTATTAATTGACTTTTTAAGTTTAATTTTATAATTATTATATATTTTTTATTAAGACATAGTTAAACAAAATTAAATGAAGTTTTAATATAATATTGATTTTAATTTAATTTAATTTTATAAAGAGTATTGTTTTGACATAATTTATTGTAAACTCAAGTATTTAAAAAAAACAATATTTGAATCCCTTATGCAATGCAATGCTATGCTATTGGAAACGTTATGTTGTAATCCTTGAATACAATGTTTAAAACAAAACACTTATAAATAATAATTTTATTATTACTTAAGGAAATTAAGTACAAAATAAGTACTTATTTTAATGCTTTAGTTATTTATTATTTATAGTTATTATATTCATTACATTTATATTATTAGTTAAAACATTATATTATATTAATTTAATTAAATGCTTAAACTTTTTAATGTTTTGTATAATAATAATAGACTTTTAATTGCAAACAATAATCGACTAATTGTTAACTCGTTGTCTGTTTTAAGACTAAAAACTACTCAAATCTTTAGTTTAGTTAAGACATCGCCGCCGAAGAGATTCATTAAATCATTGCCAAAGATATCGTTGTTTGACTACAAGTGGTCGCAAAGTTTTAGCACTACTTGTAGTCTGAATCGAGAGGATAAACAAAAGATGCCTCCGATTAGTGGTTCCCAAGACATCAGACAATATTTAGAAGATTTGATTCAAAGTAATAAAGTGTTGCTCTTTAGTACCACTACTTGTCCTTTCTGTGCAAAGGTTTGTTTGATGACATTGTTTAGTCACTAGAGTTGATCCAACATTTAACTAATTAATTGTTTGTTTTGGTGATAATCAGGTGAAGGCATTGTTTGAGTCTTTGAATATAAAGCCATTTGTCATTGAGTTGAATGTCGTGGACAACGGCACTGAATTAAGACAAGCGTTGAGCGCCAAAGTTGGTCGCACTTCAGTACCGCAGGTGTTCATCAATGGACAGCATATTGGCGGCTGTGATGACACACATAAGGCCAGAGATGACGGCGTTTTATCTCAATTATTGAAAAACCATAACTATGACTACGATCTGATTGTTATCGGCGGCGGTTCGGGTGGTTTGGCGGCCTCTAAGGAGGCGATAAAGTACGGCAAGAAAGTGGCGGTTATGGACTATATTGTTCCCACACCTCTCGGCACTACTTGGGGTTAGTTTTTAACTTCATTTAAATTGTATTGTATTTTATGAAATAATTTGAATGAATAACATTTGACATTATTGTGCTTATTATACAACGATTAAGGCATTAATTAGAGTATAATTATATTATAATTAAATAATTGCAAAATATTGATAGTTTTTTTTGTTACCGTAATTTAATTTTAATAACTAATTATCGGTAAAACTAAACTGTATTATAGGTTTGGGGGGAACGTGTCTTAATGTTGGATGTATACCTAAGAAATTGATGCATACGGCGGCACTTATTGGACAAACATTGAAGGATGGGATCAATTTTGGTTGGGATATACCAGAAAGTATAGATTCATTTTTGCATTTTTTTAAATATATATATATATATATATATATATATACTGTATATTAATTAAAAAGTTTTTGTTTTGTTATTACCGACAATAGATGTGAACCACAATTGGGATCGAATGAAGGATGAGATTCAGAATTATATTCGTTCTTCAAATTTCAAAAATAGAGTCGATTTAAGACAAAAATCAGTCGATTATATCAATTCTTACGCGTCGTTTGTTGATCCGCACAAAATTAAGGTTAGTTTTTAATTTTTTATGTTTTAGATATTTAATTCAATATTTTTTTTTAATTTAAATAGTGTATTGACAAGAAAGGGAACGAAACATTTCTGACGGCCGATAAGTTTATTATAGCCACTGGAGAGCGACCTCGATATCCAACCGATTGTGTCGGCGCTAATAAGTATAGCATCACTTCTGATGATTTGTTTTCATTGCCATACAATCCGGGAAAGACCTTAGTTGTTGGCGCCTCTTATGTTGCCCTCGAATGCGCCGGTTTTATGCGTGGCATTGGTTTGGATGTCACTGTTATGGTATGTCTTAATATTTATGTATATATTTAACAGCTATTTATGAATGTTATTTATATTTAAAAGGTTCGGTCAATTTTATTGAGAGGTTTTGATCAAGAAATGGCCGAAAAAGTCGGTGATTATATGGGTATAGAAGGTATAAAATTTTTGCGCCCATTTATTCCAACAAGTATTGAACAAATAGAAGCGGGAACTCCAGGAAGACTACGGGTGACCGCCAAGAGGACTGACACTAATGAAGAGATTGTTGATGAATACAATACTGTATTGTTTGCAATCGGTCGCGACCCGTGTACTGACAAAATTGGTCTCGAAAATACTGGTATTTATATGAACTATAATTTTATAGATATTTAGTAATGAATTTTTAATATATTTACTATAAAGGTGTTGTTAAAGAGAAAAATGGAAAAATTAAAACAATTTCTGAAAAGACAAACATTGATCACATTTATGCCGTCGGAGATATTTTGTATGGAAAACTAGAGTTAACTCCAGTGGCCATTGAAGCGGGCGTTTTATTGGCTCGTCGTATGTTTGGCAACAGTACTGTTGAATGCGATTATGTGAACGTACCGACCACTGTATTCACACCACTTGAATATGGAAGTTGTGGCTATTCAGAGGAACTGGCAATTCAAGAGTTTGGTGAAGACAACATTGATGTTTACATTCAAAATCATTGGCCTCTTGAGTGGCGAGTCGCGCACCGACCAGAAAATTCCTGTTTTGCTAAACTTATTGTTTTAAGATCAGAAAATGTATGATTTAGTAGTTTTTAATAGAATATTACAATAATTTAATTTTTATTTTTAAAAAAAAGGAGCGTATTTTAGGATTTCATTATTTAGGACCAAATGCCGGTGAAGTGACTCAATTGGTAGGACTACCGCTTAAGATGAAGGCTACCAAAGCTGATTTGGATGCACTTATTGGTATACATCCGACTTGTGCTGAAGTATTTACTACTCTTGTTGTGACAAAGAGAAGTGGATTGTCTGCTGACACCAAAGGTTGCTGAGGTTAAAGAAAGACTGTTATGTTTGTATTGAAAACTTGATAGCATTTTCAAAAAAAAATGTTTAAAAGTTTTACAATACAGTATAGCAGTCATTTGATAATAACATGATTGATGTCTTTTCAATTTAATTAAATGACGATTTGGTTGATAAATCTCAAAACAGAGGCTGAACTAAATCTGAGGACTAAAATTGATTTATTGACTCAATTAGTTATTATTATTATTATTATTAGCGGTAATTGTTTCGATATTTAAAAACCATTATTTGATAAATTAGTCTAATATTAACTTCAAAATAATTATGATATTAATTTAGTATCAGTGATATTTAGTACTGAATTTATATTACGGTAATTAGTTTTAATGCATTGTATGAATAATTGATTAATAGTTTATACGATTTTTTAATCTAATATTACAAGTTTTGTTATTTTTAGAATACTATTACTAATTAGTAAAAATATATGCAAAATGAACTTTTTATCTATAATAATAGTAATAGCATTATACAGTATTCATATTAATAATAATAATATTAAAGCATAAAAATGATGGTTTTGTGAAAGTGAATGATTTCTATGATTGATCTTTAGTACAAAAGAGTGTATTTTTTTAATGATTTAATGAATAAATTAATGAAAGTTTAAATAAAGTTCATTCCCACTGTTTTTCTGACACTATTTAATGAGTTTTAATTTTAAGGTTCAGCACAACATATCAAATACAAATCAGAGATGTTTTATGAACACTATTTTATAGATGTTTTACTCATTTAATTCTCAAAATTATTAAAAGACATGTTATATGATATTTATAAAAAAACTCGTAAGTAATATAAATTTTGATATATATTAAACATGTAATTAACGTTTTAATGGCAATCATTTTATAAAGCGTTTTTAAGGCTGGTATGGACCAGTTTCCCATTTTGGTTTATATGACCTCTTATTGTATGCTTTAAGCACTGGTTTTAAATGCCTGTCCCTTCAGCACAAGTTTACATTTTTTTATAATAACTAACTATATAAATATATATTTATTTATACCATACAGTATATATTATAATATATACAACAAACTTATCTGATGAATGAATGAATGTTGTGATACAATATATTAAAAAACATTTGACTTAAAGTCAATGAAAGTAAATCTTGAAGTGAATCTTATTATGAAACAACCCTTTTTTAGTTTAACTCACTTGTTTGATAGTGAAAGTAAGCTCAGGTAGCTTTCTATAATGGACGGGTTATTTTTAAACAAATTCAATAGAAAGTTGTTCTACAAAAGCATTTTTGGATAATAAAAGTCATAAATGAAATATTTTTTCTATCAGTTATCGGTTTATCGTTATTCTTATAAATTATAATTATTACTACTATTTGATAGTACTGTACTCATGTTATAATATAATAACATATATAATATTTTACTGTACATATGGCTGTACTGTATAATATTTTACATATGCAAACTAAACTAGAGCTTATGTGTGACATAAAATGTAAGCTTTTTAAAAAAGTTTTTAAATCTAAAATTTTGAAGTTTTGCGAGAAAAATATGAAATTGAATTTATTTAGCACATCATTAAGTTTTGTGAAAATAAATTAAAGTTTTTTTTCAAAACATTAGTTATGCATAAAATATATGCACAAAAGTTTTCAGATTAACGACTTATAAATTGTATTATAAATTCTTATGTATTTAAAATATAATTTAAATTTGTATATAAAGTAACACATGAATAACATTACTTTAAAAACAAAAAACAACTCACATGTCTATTGTAATAAATATTATTTTAAAATGCATTTAAGAATTCAATGTTACATAACATTATTTTTTTGTAGCATATTTTTTATAAACATTTTATCACATAATATTGTAAATAAAACAAAAATATATATTTTTTATGTTTAAAACCTTCAGATTTACAGACATCGAAAAAATAACGGAAAACTTGTCTCATATAAAAATAAAAATAATTTTATAAAATAATGAATAGTTAGATAAAACAAATTTGCTTTAAATTTTATGGTTGTCTACATTTAATGCAAAAAATAAAATAAAATATGATAATTAATGAAAGTTATGTTATTTTTTAATTAAATAAAATAATAGTAATATTTACTTTAAAAAGTTATTTTTTTAATTTATTAAAATTTTTATAAATTATTGGATTAATATAAACTAAAACTGTATATGTATTTCAAATTAAGTCTACGATGAATTATAACAAGTTGTATAAAGTAATGAATAAATTTTATAATTAAGAAAATTAATTATTTATATAATATAGTATATATATATATTAATGGAATATTTGTTTTATTACAAGTATTGGTAAATTATTCATATTATATTTAATTGATATTTAAATTTACTTTTATAATTAAAACTAGTCTTCTGGTTATAAATGTATGTATGGATCAAACTAAATATAGATATTAATTCAGATGTTATTTAAATTTTTGTTTTTACTATTTTAAACTCAATAGTTTTTTTTAATTTTATACATTCTATTAAATATAAAAAGTATTTATATTTATTTATTAAATTATTAATACAAAAATTTTAAAATATTATATTGAATCCTCACTTACATTAAATTGGTATTTACTACATTAATTACATAAAAACTATACAAAATATATATTAAATATGTATACATATAATAATATAATTTACTGAAAATAATCTAAATTATTAATTATAAATAAATTATAAATATATATATTTTATAATAATGTGTTTTATAAAATACAGTAATATAAATTACTATAAATAGGCTATAATTATTTATTATTATTATAGTAAAACTTTTTAAAGTAATATACTAGAAATATTTATTTAATTTTTGATAAAATATGAATTTTATTCAATGCCATATTCTATTTATTTTATTTCTATAAATAATTTTGTAGATGTTAAATTAATAATTATTTTATTGTCGACTAAATAATTATTTTAAAAATCAAGTGTTTTTAGATTATTATTTATTCAATTATATAAATATATAGATTAATTAATTATGTTAAGTACTGATGCTATAAAAACAGGAAATTTATATACAAATTATATAAATAGTATATTTAATAATCTGTCTTTTATGTCAAATACATAATTAATTCAATGATTATTATCATTAAATAAATAGATTATTTAGTTTGTTATGTCATTTATATAACTTTCATGAATAAAATAGTAATGCTATAGAAAATTAAAGTAAAAGTTAAATCAATTATTTATTTAAAGGATGACTCTTATCGTTCATTTCAAGGTCATACAACTGGCCATTAAGTTGAATACCAGTGCTATCCAAGTGATCCTCACATTTATTTTCACTTATTTTTTAAGACATAAACCAAATTTATACGATTTTCTATTAAAATTTTATTCCCATATATTCTTAAATTAAGAATCTTAATGTTATTTTTACAAAATATAACATTTAAAAATATATAACTTATAACACTTGTTTTTAAATGTTATTCAGATTACAATAAAACTAAAACTAATATAAAATTGACTTTAAATTTTGATATTAGTATATTTTTACGTTTTTATCTACTGTATTTATATATTTTTATAAATATCTATAATATTTTTAATTTATATTAGTTAATATTTATTTTATGATTTCTTATAATTATAATGTCTAATAATTTAAAATAATAATAGCTTATAAAAAATATATTAAACTTAATTTGCTTCAATATTTTTATTTTACAAAAATATAAAATTGTTAATATAAATCATTTTTTAAATAATAAAAATTCAGTACATAAGTTTAGTATAATAATATTTTATTTTTATTTATAATTACAAAAATTAAATTAACAAAAAATGAAATATTTATAAAATATTATAATATAAAATGCTTAAATTATAAGATAATATAAATTAATTATAATTAATAAAATCTAAATTGTTGACAGTTGTTTATCACAAATTGAAAATCAAATCACACATTAATTTATTAATTATTATTTACACGATTTTCAATTAAATTTAAACAAAACATCTATCAATTAAATGTATTGTATTTTGCGACAAACAATAATAAATAAATTAATTAATGTGCAAAATGTATAACATTATTGATAAATATAATAAATTACAAGATTATCATTATTTTATAATATATAAATGCAAATAATATTAAATAATAACTAAATGATTATATGATTAATAAAATAATTTGTACAGAAATTTTAATTTATATAACCAAGTGTATTTTTTTAATTAAAAACAATAATTAAAATATTTATTTTAAAAATTGTATAAAACTACTACTATATTAATTATTTTCCTATATATAAATCAATATATAAAAATAATGAGATTCGTATTTATTTCAATTGTATTTAAATATAAGCTATTAATATATAATGACTTATTATTAAGCGTTTGCATGAGTCAGGCAATGGTTAGTACTTAAGAGTAACCAATTAATTATATAAAATATTTGTTAAATATATCCTCATTACGATCACAATGTAGTTATAGGTGGGATTGATATGAAATTAAAAATTAAAATATGTTTATATATATCTAAAATATTAAGTGATAAAATAAATAAATAAAAATAATATTTAAATTACAAAAAACTACTAAACTACTAATTATTACTAAATAATTAAATTTGTTTTTTTTTAAATTTATTATTTTCTCTAATTTTGCTAATATTATTATTTTTATGTGTATATTCGTATTTTTTTTAATATATTAAATAAAATAATTGAAATATAATACTATTGAAAGAAATAGTAAAAATTGTTTGTTTTTTTTAAATACTGTTCCTCTTCTTAATAGATAAATGGATGGGTTGTTCAGGTGTTGTAATCATCCGTAACTTAATACCGATCTCTTTGTCAGCGGTCGAAGATAAATGAAATTTTTGTATAATCTGTACATTAAAATAAATTGATTATAAATTCAGTAAAAGTGTCAGTAAAATAATCTTTAAGTATAAAGTTGTTTCGCATATATTTATAGTATATATTATATACTGAATGTTGTTATTTATAAATTAATTTTTTGAGCAAAAAAAACTCGGGGCAATGGAGTTAAATGAGTATTTCAATATGAATTTAGCATTTTTTCTCAATTTGCTTTACAAATATAATTAAAAAGCAATTTATAATTATTTTGTAAATGATATTTAAATAATTAACTTCTTTTTTAATGCAAGTAATAATTCATAAATATTATAGTAATTCCTTAAACAAGTTCTTCAAGTTTTCATAAAATATATAACTAAAATAATAATATTAAATTTTTTTATTGTATTTGAAAAGTTATTAAATATTTTATTAAATTTTGAAAGCAAAACCTATCAAATATGTTATTTAAAAATATAAATCATCTGTCAATTTAATAATAAAAATGTAAATTTAAGATTCGATCTATTTTAACAATATTTTTTGGGATTCATAAAATTTATTTTAAGTATTGTATAAACTATAAATCAATTGATTTTTATGCCCAAAAAAAGATAATTTTAATATAACAGTAATTAATGGGTAAAATTAAATCAATATATTTGGTGAATGCATAAAAATTAATGAATTGAAAAATGAATTAAATGATTGATTGATGACTTACTCGGGATAAGAGAAACTGCATCTGAATTTCTGCGACTCGGCGTCCAATACAAGACCTGACGCCCAGACCAAAGGGCAAACAGGCGTGAGTATTGATGGCCTGATAGTTGGATGACTGCTTATCTCTGAGCCATCGCTCCGGTAAAAACTTATTGGGATTTGTAAAGTATTCAGACTTTCGGCCAGTCGTGTAGAGAGACATTATTACCAGTTTCTGTAACAATAATTATACAAATATTCATTAATATGATTACTATTTATATAACAATAATTATTTTGTTTTATTGATTAGTTGATTAAAGTTTTGAGGATTTGATGGGTTTTGAGTCACTTTTGACTAAAGGATATAAACTTATATGGAAAGAGAAGGTATTCCTCATTTAAATATTATTTCAAATGGTTTAACAAAATGAAACAAAAATGACAGCAAAGGGCAAATAGGTTTAACATTTGAAATCAATCTCAAGTCAAGGTTATGTTTAGGTGAACTAGTTTTCACATGATTTATATTATTGACCTTTTTTTTGGAAAAAAAAACTTTTTTTGTATACCTTTTGAGGGCTAAAAATTTAGTAGACATTTGAGGTGTGTATTAATTGAAAGAGAAATATATATATATATATATATATATATATATCTAAATCATTTATATCTGTAATAATCACAAAAGAAATAAATAAATAAATAGAGAGAGAGAGAGAGAGAGAGAGAGAGAGAGAGAGAGAGAGAGAGAGAGAGACCCTAAAACAGAGAGCCTTGACTTTGAAATTTTAAATACGAGTTCACTGTTTTATGCTCTTTAAAGACACACTCCTAATGACTTACTTAAACTTAAATATTGAGTATATAATCAAAAGTCTCTTTATTTTTAGTAACAAATATTTTTTGTTTATTTAGATTACATTTTTGTTGTTTTGTTTAGCAGTTTTTTTGTTTTGTTTTGAAATAATTTTTGGATCAATCATAATATAATGTATTATATATATATATAGTATACTTACTCCTGAAGGAATGTCATATCCTGAGAGCTCTAAGTCCTGAGACATATATCTTGACAGGAATGGTGCGACCGGATATAGCCTTCAAAAATATATAAAAATATTAATATATAACATTTGTTTAACACATTAGTTATGTATTTATTATATAATGACTATTTTTGGCCTACAATTATGACACCAATTTTTTTGCTCTAAAACTAAACACATTTCTAAGTGAATCACTAATAAAATCTTTCAAACAATTTTAATGCATATTTTGTTGTTTATACTTTTGTAGACAAATATTTTGAGAATTTTAAAAATAAGAAATCATTAAATAGTCTGCCAATCGATTTTATAGTTTAACTTTATATAAATTTATTTCTTTTTTTAAAATTGATTAAATATATAATTATATTTTTGTTGTTGAAATACCTGAGTGACTCTTTGATGACTCCCTTAATATACGAAAGTTGCGGTAAATGACTTTCTTCAACAATTTGTCCACCGGTTACACTATTTATCTCATCCAACATTTTTTGCTGACACTCGGGATTGCGGGCCAACAAATACAGAGCCCATTGAGTTGCATGTGATGTCTATTCAAAATAATCATAATTTTTTAATTAAATATTTAATTTTAAAAATCTATTTAATTATTAAGAAGTTTTAGTTACCGTATCCGCGGCAGCAATAAACAGATCGACAATAATACGGACAATCTCTTCGTGATCAATGGTTCCCTCTTCAAGAAGTTCTCTAATAATTCCCTGTCCTGTCATCCGATCGCACTGTTTGTTCATTGTTTGCTCTTTTTTTATTTGTTCAACATTTTCATTCACATAACTTCGAGCTTTTTTTCAAACAAAAATCAAATTAATTACATTGTTATGCATTACTGCAACTAAATTATTATTAATTGTAAACGTTCTGATATTTAATATTAAATATTATAAAAATGATTTATTTATATAATATTCAATATATAATATTGATATAATAAACATATGTCACATATAATATGTGTGCTATAAGATTATTACCTAAATTAAGTGCTTTTCCGGCCGCGTCCACAAAACGTCTCCAAACGGGTAAATTGAGTTTAAAAGCCAGTTTGGGTGGTATTAACTGCATGTTTGCCGATTCAACAAATATTTGTTGAACACAATGAACAAACTCATGTATGTTTGTCATTGGCTTCTGTGTGTCATCACTGGCACCAGTATTAGGCATTGGAATACAACCGAGACGTCTACCAAATATCATTGTTCCTAATGCTATATAATAGTTAAAAATTAATAAATAATAAATAACTTCTAAGTTTTGACATTTATAATAATTTATTAATTTAATGTATCCAACAAATATTATTTTATAATCATTAAATATAACTAATATAAACTATTATAGAAGTTTAAAAAAAAGTTTTGTGTTAATTTTTTATTTAAAAAAAACAAATATAAAAAATCAACTAACATTTTTGTGATTAAAGTAATTTTCTCAGCTTATTTATTAAATACATAATTAAGTAAAACTGTCAAAAATTAATTAGAAAAAAACTTTTACTTTATATAACATTAAACATTTTTCCATAAAATCCAACATTAATTTTAGTTAAAATTTTAAAAAATATTTTATAAGTTAAAGGTTAACCTCAACCTTGAAAATTTAAAAGTGAAGAAAAGATTTATATAATTATAAAATAAATTTTATTTTATTATAAAACCAATAAAAGAAAATATTTTTCTATATATTGTGTATATGAAACCAAAATTTTGGACATGAATTTCAAGGCTAACCTCATAATAAATAACAACAAACCTGTGAAACATTTTTTACAAAACGAAAATTATTTATTTATCTATGTTTTACTGTGTATTTCTATATTATTTAAATATATATCTGAAAAAGTTGCTAAAAGTTGACATTACTGCTATCATCAAGGTTATAATATCAGCAAAAAATCCATATAAAACCAATATATGCTATTAAGATGAGCTTTGTATTCTTGATATATATTTTATCATTTATTTGTTTTAGAAATCATAAGACAAATTAAGATATTGAAAATTATGTGATCGTTATTTATATAAATAAAATATTTTGTATAAAAATTTTTATAAAATAATTTTTAGTGATAATATAACACAGAAAACCGCCGCATGTGGTGGCATATGGTTTGAGCGGCTAATAAAAGTCAAGTGCCATATAAAGACAATGACCTAAAGCTAAATTATTTCATTGTATATATGAGTGACAATAGAAAACTATATATTATATCAAATATGAATTAATTGAGTAATTATTTTTTGAAGATATTTATAATTATTAAAACAAATGTTAATTTAAAACAAAAATTTTATATTCATTAGAAAATAGATAATATTGATATTTAATAAAATCAAAAACGCCTGTAAAAGTATTCACACGATTTGCTTAACTGCTATGCAAATAAACAAACTTTACTGTCAACAAAAAATACAGTTAATGTGAAATTAAATAGGAAAACAAACATAACGTAACATAACATAACTTAACTTATTATAGCATAATATAGTATAACATAGCATAACATTAATGACTATATAAACTGGCTTTTCAGGTATTGCTTTATTTTGATGTTATTTTGCAATAATTTTTAAAAGCGTTTTTTAATTAAAATTCAATTAAAAAAATCTCTCATTAAAAACAACTCTCGTTTTCCGTATTCATTAACTAAGACTTCGTTTTCAATAATTTTAATTCATTAAAATGTTTGAATAAAATTTGTTTTTTAGAGATCAAAGAACTTCACTCAAAATAATTTTGAAAATATTTTTGAAAAATAAAGTTTGAAAAAATAACTTTAAAATATTGTAAAATTATGTGTGTAATAGAAATAATGTTTAATATATATATTATATCATATTGTTTTAAAAAGTTCGAAATAATATCACTTATTATAGTTTTTTGCCAATTGATAATATAAAACATGATATTATAGATCACACCATTTATGCACTCAGTCCTTATTAAGTAAATATTTACATTTTATGATATAATTGTAACAATAAATATACTGTATATATATATATATATATATATATATATATTAATATTAATATATATAATATCATTGTAAGATCTGTAGTAACGTGAACGAGTCATTGCAATAATGTACTGCTTATTGGGTTATATCACAAAAATTTATTTATTTATTATCACATTTATTTAGATTTTAAATTTTTTTAGAAAGTTGCAAATATTCTACTTATTTGTTTTAATGCATTCAATTTATATGATATATTTTTGTAAATAAAATACATTATGTGTCTAATTAACTGAAATAGCATAACAATAACAATATTATTAAATTTTTTAGATATCAGATAATTTCAGAAAAAATCAATGAACTCTTCTATATATTTATTTATAAATATTTACTAATAATTATAATAAATGATAAATACTAGTAATTAAAAAGATAAAATGTGTTTTATGAGAAAATACCCAAAATCTAATCGGATTTTAATACATTAGGGCATAACATATATATTAGATAATATATTGTGTATTAATTAATTATTATCCTCTAATTTGTATGAAATGTCAATAAATTCACTGTCAATGTGACGCTTAGTTGATAATTCAACACTTTTTACATAAACAAAACACACTTTAAAATTTTAGCATAACTGAAAAAAATTATGTTGGATTTTATTTTATTTTAATTTATAAGTCTATTTGAAAATAGTCATAAATTACACAAAATATATTATTATTATTTTCAAATTTTACTTATAAAGTGATATAATATAAAAATACTTAAAACAAACAATACATACATTCAATGGACCAGTTGTATAGTTCTTTCTCGAGTTTAGTGACCAAAGCATTGTCCGATGACTGGCCATTATTACCGGTAAAAAGTTGGTCCCAATTGTGAACAAAGTCGGTGGCGACTGAATTGAAAATATCTGAATATTCGCTAATTGTCGGAGACTTTAGGAAAACTTTGTTTAAACTTTTGCGGCGTTCACTCCATTCCGGGCCATCCCTTATGTAAAACAAAATCATAAAAATTAAAAATTGGATAATTTATGGCATTTGATAAAATCAGTTATATATATATATCTAAGAGACCTTCCTCTGAATAAATGGACATATATTTAGGTTTGTATTTCTTATCGTCAAATAATTCAGTCAAACATTAAACTATATACAAACCTCTAGTTTATGCAGTGCTTGACATTTGCAAAGGTTTTTCATTTAAGTATCGGTAGCTTTATTTGTGTTATATATTTAACATATATAGATATATAACATATATATATATATAGGTATATACCTGGCCAGGTAGACTGACCTTGAATGTAATTTGACATTTTTTAGGTATATATTTTATTCAAAAACTCACTTCACTCTCCTTTTCAATTGCTTTTACTTTCACTTCACTTATCTCTGAGAGCCCACCAAATAATGGCTTTACATATATAACCAATAATTGTGCCCTAAGTCTCACACAATCTCTCTCTCACTCACTTTTTCAACACTAAAGTTACTATAAAAACTACAAAAAAGTCAATAATAATATTTTCTATACTTAATTGTAAAAGCACTTATTTACTATTTTAATCATTAAACAAATTGTTTTTTTTGTGCAGTAATTTAAGCATTATAACACTTGCAATATTGTTTTAAAATAATAATTATTGTATTGCCAAAACAATCATTATATTTAAAAATATAAAATTTACATATAACTATACATTTAAAGTTATAAATATTCACTAATCTAGATATGTATTTATATGCATCAATAGTAAAGCCAATTGTTTAAATAAAGTAATGCATTATTAGTTAGCAGTGTATGTACTTAAGTACAGTACAGTATATTCACAGGTATTCACTAAAGTTATATACATTTGTTTTGGGGCTTAAAAGAAAAATCACAGTTTGAAATACTCATCAGATTATATGACAATAATATCCTTTATATCTCAAGAGACTTACAATATTAACAACAAATGATTTTAATATACAGTATAATGGCTTCAAAACAATTTGTTTGTAATTAACATATTTTGTTTGAAAATAATATAAAAAAGCATAAAAGAAACATTTTTAATTTCAAAAATTAAAATAAATAAAAAATTACTTACATAAAAAACAATCCACGCTTAATACCATTGATTTCATTGTAGATAATCCATGGCTCCGGTACCATATGTTGTGGATATTTGCCCTCAAACTGATAAACCTTTTAAATAATAGTTCAATAAAAATATTTTCAGTAAATTTCTTGGAAATAAATTCTTGAAGCATTCAAATAAATTTTTGCGTTAATTAACAAAATTGGGTTAAACTGGGATATCTTTAAAGGAATTTCATTGAAAGCAACCAACGATTGCTAACAAATATTGCAATTGATTATAGACTGACAACTCATACCTTTTGCATAAGTGCGGCGTCGGCTATGAAGACAGCCTCAACATTACCCAAAGTTTCCTTATAAATGGGACCCAATTCATGATGTCTTCGATCACAATACAAGTGTGTATACTGAGCACCACCCGATCGGATCAAATCAAACAATGTTCCTATTAATGGTAAACCTTTGGGCGTCGGTAGGGATTCGTATGGAAGAACTTGATTTGTTTTAGTGGTCGGTATCTCTGGACTTAAAGATTTGGCGCCCGTAACAGGACATCCCGTAATTGCATAGTTTATATGACGGGCAGATTGAGTGCATGTCTTGTGAACCACTGGACAACTGATGTTCGTCTTCAACATAACACTCGTGGAATCGGATGCTGTGGTCGATGCGGACGGACAGTTAACTTTGACATTTGATATCATCAATGATGACATTTGTTTCAATATATTTCTTGACAAATGTTTAGCCATTGAAGCAATTGATGCATCAATTTATTTAACAATTATACTTTGAAATAGATTTATAATATTTATTCTTAACAATAAATATAAACTATTTTAAGTTTAAAAATATAACATTAAAACTTCGCACAAATATAATATATATAGATATAAATATATTTTAAAATTTCAACAAAAAGTTATCTATTAACAATTTTAATTTTAATTTATAAATTTATATAATGTTTGCTAGAATTTTACTAAATAAAAAAGATAAATATATGAAAATAGATAATAGGAGAGAGAGTTGAGTATATAATCAAACTGATCACTGATCTAGTTATATGCAATACCAGCTTATTTATAGTGGATATACCTCTCTGTGAGAAAAAAGTGAAAAAAGTTGACAAAAACTAGTAAATCAAATATAAAGAAGAAAAGTGAGAAAAGTTTTTTTGGTTGTAATTTTCAAACATAAGCTCAGCTAAAGTACTATATATTTATATACTGTTTCTCTCTCCGTGTGTGTGTTTGGAGTGTTATATTCTGGTGCTGTTCGAGATATAAAGTGCACACACACTCACACACACACACACACACACACACACACACACACACACACACACACACACACACACACACACATGCATATATATATATACACACACACCACTTATTCACTCACTTACTCACATAAAGCTATAAATACAGGCATTTTCTGCTGATCTGTTAACTCAAGCAATACGCGAGTGAATCCCTGGGGCGTCAAAAGTGATTGGAGATTAGGCGGTCCTAAACTTGTTATGCTTTTCATGTATGTATCATAGATATGTATATTATGCAGTATATATATGGTAGATATATATACAGTATATATATAATGGCTTTAAGGCGTAATTTTTTGATAATTTAAGATATTGAAGAATAGATTGAAGACTTGTTGGACACTAATATTTACGGACATATATTCTTGAGGGCCAAGAATTATATCATAAATTATAAGTTTTTATATATAGTTTCAACAATTAAAACCTTTTTTCTAATGTTATCAATTCATTTGGGGAACACTTTCATTCATTTCATATAAATCATTGGCTTTATTAGAAAATTAGTAATAAATCTATATTATCATATAAAATACAGATGTATACAATAAATGTATGTATGTATACAAATAATATATATATATATTTATATACAAATTATATAAATGTATAAAAATTTAATTGTGAGAAATATTTTTAAATGAATTTCCTTTTTATAAAAAGCAATGTCAACTTATTTTTAATTTGTCATTAAAATTCAATTTAATTTTTACAATTGGATGTAATTTTCTAAAAATAAAAAAATAGTAAGTTATAATAGGATAAACTTTACTATAATATAAACTTGAACTTGATTTTAATATATATTGTAGAAATATATTATACTAAATTATATGTTTTATTACATAATAGTTAAATAAAATAAAAAGCGCGACTTTATCTTTATTAATACAAAATATATAAATTAAATTTAAAAATCATTTAATTAAATAAATTGATTTAATTCTATTATAAAAACAAAAATTACAAAAAAAGAAAGATTTTAACACATATTTGTAGTCATGTTTGTGTCAAACTAATAAAATTTATAATTCAATTTTAAACTTTGTTATTTTCATTTAATAAGCAAACTATTTCTCAGTATAATATTTGATGTAAATGTAATATTATTATACAAAATACCATTTCAATGAAATAATGATTTGTTATTTTGTTGCTATTAAAAGAAAAACTAATTTCAAATATGCTATACAAATTGAAATTCATTTATTACTATTGATTTCAATGAAATAAAGTGAAAGTAAGTGAATGAGAGAGAGAGAGAGAGAGAGAGAGAGAGAGAGAGAGAGAGAGAGAGAGAGAGAATGGACGAACAGGTGATAAAAAGCGTATGACAAGTAAGATAAGGTGTTTTATATTACATAAAAATTATATAATACATACAGTATTACAGTCTAATCATGTATTAAGTATTTTTTAAGAGACAAGACATTCACTTTCCTTTTTTGAGATAAATATACGAAATGTTTAATATAAAGACAAAATAAATGAATGATTGGAAGTGTTTGAAAAGCAATTTTAAAAAACATCTGATGTCAACATGTGATGTGTGTCCAGAAGGAGAGCCCAAACTTAACAACTAATATGTATATCCAATGTTCTTATCGATGGAGAAAAGTTTCTTTTAAAAGACTAGTTTTATAAACTGAAAGCAAAACTTAAAAACCATCTGCGCTTTCGACCCAATCATATATATTATATGTCTTTCCATCTCTTTCTCTCTCTCTCTTCTCTCTCTCTCTCTCTCTCTCTCTCTTAGCCATTATAATAGTAGAATTGATTATAACTATTATTAAGATTAGATTGATATACAATGAATATTTTTTGATGTCTTGGTGGCAAAATGTATGTATATTTGAATTGAGTATTTGTACGGATCTAATAAAATGAATTATAATAGAGAAGTGAAAATATAAGGCATTGGGATATTGGGATAAATCATAAACTGAAATGAAATGAAAAACGGAAAGCGAAAGGAGTTTTTCATATGTCGGACACTGAATCACATCGATATGTGAGAGAAAACAGAAACAACAAATACAACAAAAACTTTTTGATAACAAATACAAAATGCAAACAAAAGACAAGACTTTTTAAAATATAAAGAGAGGAAAGATTTTGGCCGATATATTGGGTTCTCCTATTGACCGCTACCTATAGTCGCAGTCCGTCTCCCGTTTCCCACTGCAAACAGTGCTCTTCACACTATAAGTATGACGATCTGTCCTTTTAAACCCCTTTCCATCCGCTACCCCTTTATGTGAAAACCATAGCCAAAGGGAATAAGTTTTAAGCAACATAAAAGCTCAACAATAATAACATATTTAACTCTATCTTAAAGGACAGGTAGTTCTCTGTATATGTTTTGCTCTCCTTTTTCGCCATAAATACACAACAAAACGCCAACACTTTTATTCAATAACAATAGACAAGAATTTATAAAAATGAGTACAAACTTTAAATAAGTCTAGACTTATATTGAGACACAAAACATAAGTTTATTTATGTCTTTAAGATATCATATAATAAAATGCATGACATATTATGAGAAACAAAATATGATTTAATATACAATAAATAGAAATCAATAATTAGTCAATCAATTGGTCGCCCGATCTCTGGAGCGATAGATAACACCTCTGCTCTTGAGTTCCCTAATAATACCGGCCGGAAGTCTACCCGAGACACTGATTGCGTAAATGCCTTTACATTTGCGATCTACAGACATATAGATAGCAAATATAATAAAATAAGTTAATAAAAGAAATTATAATTTTAATTATTAATAACATGAGGTACTCACTAATCTTTTGCCACTTCGCAACCCAACTTTCCTCAGGACTGGTCAAAGCTATCATACTGTAAAAGAGTGTTCAGAATATTTTATACAAAATTGTCATAAATTTTAGTTTTCAAAAAAAGTTTTAAAACATAGTAATAAGTGTATCTGTTGTTATGCAATAAATGTTATAAAGCATATAATAGTGTAGTGGTATATACTGTAATGCACAGGTAATCTAGAAATTACTGGACATTTTATATATATGTGAGACTATTTTTTATGTTTAAAAATTTTAAATAAAAATTCATAAAAATGTCTCCAGTTTTTAGTGCAATAAATTATAAATTGTTTTAAAATTGATATATATATATATATATATATATATATATATATATATATATATATATATATATATATATATATATATAGTATATATTAATAATTATTATAGTAAAAATATAGTGATTGTAAAATAATAATATAGTTAATAGAAAAAATGAATTTTCCATAAATATACAGTATATCAATATATAGTAACAAAAATAAAATATATTTGACAAAAATAACCAAAACATGTATTGAATGCATTAAATATTAAATTGAATTTCGATTATATAAAACTTATTACAATTATAAAACCACAGTTTTTAATCATAAATGAAAACAATATAAGCATTCATTCAATAAATTATGTCTAAAATAGCAAATTATTTAACAAATGAAAAACTATTGAAGTATTTATTACGGAAGTATTTTTCATTGCTATTCATTAAAATCAAAACAATATTTAAATACTTATATAATAAATGTTAAATTTTTTATAAAAACACTTCCGTAATAAACATTCATATAATTCAGTCTTCAATAACATTAAATATTCAGTGAATTTTTGATTGCTTTCACTGATATTATTTGGTACGACGTCTGCACACCTAATGATGTCTAACATTGAAATTTCACATAAATAGAGCCAAACATTGGATTTTTGGCATAATATACAACACTATTGCCTTTTCATACCATATCCTTGAAAAATGTTGTGCCACTGATTGTTGTCTTTATTTTATTTTTTTGGACCAACAGTTACTTTAGCCCAAAACTCCGCTAAACATAATACAGTGCATCAATTTTGATGTCAATTTTATTAAATCAAAAACTTATTGCCTATAATTTAATTTCAAGGATAATCATAATAATATATTCAAAGCTAGTTTTCCCCCTCACTCTCACATTTCTATCTATATTTATATATAAAATTATTTTTTTTATAAATCTAAACATTTTATTTGTTATATTTTTAGTACACATCATTACTAAACAAAACTTTGCTTTTAATTAACAGCTATAATATGTAATAAATAAATAAAAATTATTTTATATTTTAGTGTTAAAAAACTATTATTAGTGTAGAAATATTGATAAATTATCAAGATAATAAATAATTAATATAAATTATACATTATTCTACGTTAACAATTATAACTAAAATAACATATCAAAATGTTATACAATATAACAGTATTTAAAGTTTTTTAAATGAAAAAATAAGAGATTTATAAAACTAATGGGTTGTCATTTTTAGACATTTCAAGTCAAGGTATAGTTGCAAAATCTAGTCCAGTGGTTATATAAACCACAGTATAAGTGGCTTTTAATGGTTTCATAATATTATTTTTTATAATTTAATACCAAATTTTTTATTATCACAAAACCATTAATAAGAATACTTTAAAAAATCACGTGTTATATTCATATAAATCATTTAATATATTTTCATTTAGCTTTAATAGTCCTGCTATTAGTTTAGAAGTTAGTATACATATAACAGTAGATGTATTAATATGTGAGATATAACAGGGATATACTTGAAATAAATGATTGCCAACCAAACTAATTAAAACTGGTCAGTCGATTAATGCCATCTCCATAACCAATATAATTATATATAAGTTTAACATTAGTTATGCATAAGAAAGATATCATATATTACTTAATAACACGACAGTAGAGGTGACTCTTAATAAAGACAGTGTCGTCGCGAAAGTCTTTTTTGAAGATTGTTTCCAATAAATTAAATCCTTTCCCTCAACTCATGTGCAAAAACTGTGGGGTATTTCCCAAATAGATTTAGTTAACCATTCAAACAGTAATAAATGTGTTTCAAACTTTAAATATAATAATTTTCAAATCATTTTTTATAATTAATATAGTTTTTATAAATTACCGTTTAGTAAGTGACTTGAATTTTATCACTCATTTATTTAAAACAATCCAATAAATTAAATCATATTTTTATCTATCAATTATTTAATGACAAAAAATACTAAATAAATTCAAATATTTACTAAATATCTAAACAATTTGTTTCATTATCTAATTGACATTCAGTTAATATATTTATATACTATACTATTACCGATAATAATAATAATAATAATTTTAAATATAATAAATCATATATCGATAATAAACTATTGTAACAAATAATAACTTTTTAATTATCTTCAAAAGCGTAACAATCTTTAAATACATGAGTAGTTGTTTCTGTTATATAGCTTATGATATGACAATCAATGGTAAAAAATCAAAGACAAACAAATCAATGAAATGACAAACCCATCAAAATTACTGGAAGTGCAGTCGTAAACCATTTCGCGGTTATTCTTCATTCCCAGATATTCATCACAATTATCACATCCGTCAAACTCAAATTGATCAAAGGACTAGACATACAAACAATTATTATTATCATATTTGATACCATCGATGGTCAGCATATCGGGCGACCAACCAATTGGTTACACAAAAATACATACCTTAATGAGTGAACACAACAAACAGGCTCTCAAATGTCGTAAATCTCGTGGTATCGACTCGACAGACATCACTACTAAGTACTGGATCAGCCTTTATATGATTATCACTGAAATTGGTGTCAATTAAATGATAATTTGGTCAATAATTTAGTGGTAAATGCGATCAAACATTGATTGAAAAAAACAATCAAAACTATACTATAAGTGATAAACACTGCTATTTTGTGCCCATTTTTCACACAAATTATTATACATTTTTAGTACTAAAAAGGCTTTTATTTATTAAAGAGATAATAAATCAATAGATTGTTTAATACAAATAAAACGTAACATTTAGTCTATAAGTTCTCCATCTATTAGTTTGAAACTTAGTTAACGTTTAATACTACTAAAGCTATACATTGTTATACAGTTCTACAGTCAAGTTATAGCACTGATTACATAACATAACTAAACATAATATAAATTTAAGTAAATTTAATGTTTAATATTAGTTTACAATATATAAGAGCGCAAACACTTATATTATACGTACCGATACTTCCACCCTATGTTTGATTTACATTATTAGAACTGATATTAGATATTATATGAAGTTTTTATAATTAATATTTGTTTGTTAATAATATTGTTTTATTAATTTATTGATAATTTCCGTTATTATATTTACATAGTTATACCAATTATTACATACGACTACTTAGTTATTGCATCTATAAATTATTCAATTGTTATATAAATTATGCATATATTGAATAGTTTCTCAATTATGGTATTTATTTATTATCATTATTTTTAATGAGAATTTTCAACAACAAAAAATATTTTCTTTCATAAAAACAATTTGACGACTATTTTAGTGAAATACCAAAAATATGTGAAATTATTTTTGCATAAATATGTGACAATTTAATGACACAACTCTGTGAAACGATTTTGAGATTTTTATCAATTTTATTGTTTTGAAATATGATTTTTCTCTGTTTTATCATTAACAGCAAATAAAGCCAAATATAATTTGTATATTTGTCACTAATAGTGTAACTTTTAAAGGTTATTGAAATATAGTACTAATTTATTTGATAACCAAGCTAGTTTTTATATGTAATTAATGATATAAATTGTTTGTTTGTTTATAATTTTTATTTTATAATAATTAAATTTAAATTTGATAGCAAAATTTATATTATAAAATAAGTGTATTGTATTACAAAATAGCTTTATAAAAATTTATACAATATTTGTATTTATTTATGGTTAAATAAAATATTTAAATTATTTTTATTTATATTTATATTTAAATTAGTAAATTGAATATTAATCATAAAAATAAAGTTTAATTAACATATTATAGTAATAAATAGATTATCTGCTAATTTGTTTAACTTTAATGACAATATATTACTGACAATACAATATACTAGTAAATAAGGTAACATTTCATAAATATATTCAAATTTGATTTGTTTTTAATAATTTGTTTTATTACTTAACTAATAAAATTTTATTGTCATAATTTAATTGTTTATTTATAGTATAATTTATGCTAAATATATTTTTTTAAATTAATAATATTATTATGTATTTTTATACTAAATACCTTGATTGTCTCGTTATTAAAAATGCATAATTTAACATTATAATGTTAAGTGAAACTTTTTGAAATAATTTAATATTTGGTATCAATGAAAAAAATATAACCACATTTGAAAGTTATTTTTTAAATTATAACCACACAATAAAACTTTAAAATATTTTTATTTTTGTAAATTAACTCTAAAAACCTAACCGTCAAATAAAACAATGAACAAAGTTTTGTCATTTTGTAAAATTGTATTCACAAATAATAATTTAATTTGATTTTTAGTAACAATAGAAAAATATAATATAATTATAATTGTGATTACAATGACTGCGATAGCTGTGAACGATGTTTGCTTTGGATATAAGACACAATCGATTTTAAGTCAAATTTATGCCAATATTCCCGAAAGTAAAATCTATGGTTTATTGGGTCCCAGCGGTGCGGGTAAAACAACTTTATTGAGACTTATTTTAGGCCGAATTAAGCCTCATAGCGGCTCTATAACAGTGTTAGGCAGTGAACCGGGTATTAACAATCCGATTACCGGATATATGCCACAAGATACGGCTCTGTGTCTATCATTTACAGTCAACCAAACACTCATTTATTTTTCAAATATTTATCGCATGTCTCAGAAAAAATTTCATGAAAGGTAAGTAATAATACATATTATTTTAATTTATTTTTAAATCTAATTTTAATTAATATCGTTTTTGGATGATTTTAAAAATAACATATTTTAATTTTATGGTACTATTATTATTATTATTATTATTATTATTATTATTATTATTATTATTATTATTATTATTATTATTATTATTATTATTATTATATACAATTTCTAGAAAAGGTTTATTATCATCAATACTGCAACTGCCCGGTGATAATCAATTGATATCAGAGTTGTCAGGCGGACAACAAAAGCGTGTATCACTGGCACTGGCATTCTTGAACAGTCCAAGACTTGTCATATTAGATGAGCCAACAGTGGGAACGGATCCAATTCTCGGCAATAGTATCTGGAATTATCTGCACAGTTGTTGTAGAGAAGGTGTATCAGTAGTTATCGTTACCCACTATATAGAAGAGGCAGCTTTGGCTCATATGGTTGGTATTATGAGAAATGGTAAACTTATGGAGGAAGGGGTGCCCAACGATTTGCTTCTTAAATATAGGGAAACTAATTTGGAAAATGTTTTCTTAAAACTATGTCAATTGGATACTAAAATGATACAAAACTATGACAATAATAATAATAATAATAATAATAATAATTTAGATATTAAAGTAACTTCCAATGGAAATGATTTGAATAATAATATGAGAAATAAAACAAATAAATGGCAGAATTTAAACTCTGGAGAAGATATCGACACGAGTTTGTTCCTCAATGTGTGGATACTATTGATTTTGATTCGCAAGAATTTCAGCAAATTCTTACAATTTAACGTATCTTTTCTTATATTTTTAATACCGGCCTTTCAGGCACTTATACTTTGTGTTCTCTATGATAGAGACTCAATACCAGTAAGTTTTGTTAATTAAATTTAGATACATTTAATAATTATTACATTTAATTTTAAAATTTACATTTAATTAAAATACATCAAAAAATAACTTGTATTTAATGTGCATATGTTTTTTTGTAATCACTATCAGATAAAAGCTGCCATTTTTAATGAGGAGCCGAACCCACAGTACAGCACACGGCTATTGAACTCAATAAAACAAGTGGATGCCTATTATGTGCAACCAGTAAAATATACATCACTGTCCTCGGCTATTGATGCCGTTGATAAGGGGTATATGACAGCAGCCGTTTGGTTTCATCAAAACTATACCAATGCTTTAGATGCTCGGGTAGAGGGGGCTCAGGACTCTGACATTGACAATAAAACGCTTAGCGAAAGCTCAATACACTTATGGTTAGATAACTCAAACTTTTTGTATGCCAACGGACTCATTGACTCATTGAGATTATCAATGTATGAACTGATGGGAGATATCTTTATGGATAAAAACATGAGTCGAGTGGAGGCGCCGTTAAAAGTGGTCGAAACAATTTACGCCGAAAACTCTAAACTATCGGACTTTCTATTACCCGGTTATCTCATTTCATTCATGTATTTATCACAGGTATACAGTATATACTAATTATAGTTTCAATCGTTACATTTTATGCAAATATACCCTATTATTACAGGTCTCTCTTTCATCACAATTACTAATTCAAGAAAGAAAGGATGGCTTATTTGAGCGGTCACTTGTGGCCGGAGTGGGCCATCAATTGGTGTTTATATCGCATTTTATAACCAATTGTCTCATGTCGTTCATTCAAATTATTTTAATGCTTTTTATATCGTTTATTGTCTTTCAAATAACAAATTATGGATCAATTGAATTAATTCTGTTTTTAGTGATGACACAAGCGGCCAATGCTATTGCCATTGGTTTGTATTCATTTTTTTTAAAATTTATATTCATTTTAAAATTCATAAAATTATGGTAAAGTTTGCTTTTAAAATGCTGAAAATTAAAAATATAAGTTAAAGTTGTAAATGCAACAAAATTAATTACTTATATATTCAAGTTTATATTTTATTTGTGATTTACCTGTAATTAGATCTGTTATAATTGCTATTTTTAGTTTGTAAATTAAGTTAATTGAATTTTAATTAAATATAGTGAACTATTCTACATTTTATGACTAAAAAAAAATATTTCAAAACTGAATCTCAAGACTTAGTGAAAAATAATATAAAATATACATTAATTTAATTTCAATTACTAAAACTTTACTTTAAAAAATACAAAAATCAGGTTAATTGCTAATTGTCAAGGTCACTAATAAATAATCTAAAAATAAACAGGGTTTAGCCTGTAATCCTGATATAATAAAAAATTAGAATAAAATATAGCACTTTGAATCAAATAATTAAATTTGATTTAATGTATGGGTATATAATAATTTAATTTCAAAAAGTGTCTAGGTATGATAGCATTTTTTAATATTTAGGTATTAAAAAACATAAATTGAAATAATATAAAGCAAAATAGTTTTAAATGATAATTAATGAACATTTGTGGAAATTTTTACACATAAATGTGATTTATATTAAACAAAACTAATTATTTACACACAAAAAAGTCCAACCATTTAATTTGATTAATGATTGATAATTTCACGTTTTATTGAAGGCCTACTAATATCAGCGATAGTTGACGAGGGGTTTGTGGCGGTTCTCATATCAATATTTATAACATTTAGCCAACTGTTCACATCGGGTGCTATATTTCCATTCGAGTTGGTTGAGCCCAACTTACGACAGATTCTATACTATAGTCCTATAGCAATGCCAACCGAGTCATTGAGGAATGTTATGCTTCGCGGTTGGAATCTATACCATCAGTACGTGTTTCATGGATTTGCCCTCAATGTGGGCACCGGCTGTCTCTTCCTTGTGCTCGCAATGATTATATTTAGACGAAATTCATAATTTTTTTTAATAATACACTAATTTTTTAATTTCATTTCTTATATATTTTATATAATAATAAATAAAATTAACAAATAAAACTTAGAGTATATATAAAACAAGTTGTTATATTTTTACCAATAATAATAATAATAACTTATTATTAATAAGATTGTCTGCAAGTTTGAAGTACAAAGATATTATTTTTATCTGTTTATCAAATAAATTTATTTACTTGAATTTCATATTATTGATTAGTACTGTAATAAATTATAACTGAAATTTTTATCTAAAAAATTATTATCTATTTTTAAATGTTACTATTTTTAACTTAAAGATATTGTAAACTTATTTTTATTAAAGTAATTTAGTTTAGTATATTATAAGTTTATAAATATATTAATAGTAAAATATTATATACTAAACGATTTATCAAAAAATATAAATCACTTAAAAGTTATATTACATAATATGCCAAATATTAATAATTGGGTTGTATTACACAAATTGCGGCCCAATTTTGTGGCCACAATAAAACTTGTCTGTATTTTTGGTGAATCGGGTAATGAGGTTATAATAGTGACTAAAGATGATAACGTTTTTGCATTTGGTTATAACAAGTACGGGTGTCTGGGTTTGGGTCACAACAATCCCATCCAAGAGCCCACCCGTCTCGAGGAGTTGTGTTATAAAGAGATCGCAAGTATTGCTTATTGTGGGTATTATGTGATCGCCTTTACTGCTAATGGAGACATATATTCGTGGGGTTATAATAATAATGGAGAGTTAGGTATCGGCACAACAGTCAACAGCAATCGACCCAATCTTATTGATGGTTTAGTTGGCAAACGAATTGTCGATATCAGCTGTGGTTACGATCATTCGTTAGCTCTGACAGCTACTGGGGATGTCTATTCTTGGGGCGATAATAGTTATGGACAGTTAGGTAATGGAAACAACTTTGATATCCAATCAGTACCTCATAAAGTCAAGGGGTTTGATAGCCAAGAGGTGATTCAGATATCGTGCGGCTATTATCACTCAATGGCAATCACCAAAGCTGGTCACGTATATGGATGGGGATATAATAGTGAGGGCGAACTAGGATTGGGTGAGCACAACCATTAAAAACATTTTTGTCCCTCCGGTGCAGTGGCATTTAATTTACGTTAAGGTTTCGGCTGTTTGCACTTAAAGCAACACATCCGATACGATACCCGGGGTTCGATTCCCTGATGCTCCACCGGTATTTATCGTGCATTCAAAACTCAAGTATTAATAACAGTTTATGAGTATAAATTAAAATAATAGACAATAATACAGTATTATACTTTTTTATAAAAAAGTAACAGGGTCTCCTAAAAGTGTACCATACAGTATTAATAATATAATGTGCACTTTAAATCCAGATCCTTTTTAAAAAACATTTTTCAGATAATAAATTGTCAAAATTTAATTTATAATTTTTTTTTATATGAGTGGTTATTACATATTTAACTTACCGGTAATTCAAATTATTAATGCATTAAATTTGAAAATATACCCTGATGTTATTTTCAGATAAATTTAAGCAGGGGAAATTCCTGTGTAAATGAACTCTATTACAATACTGTATCTCATTTAATGAATTATTTATTGATAAGAAAATTATAAATGAAACTTTTTAATATATAATAGTATATATTTAGCATAAATTATAAATATCTTATTTATAGTCAATAAGACTCTAATCTATAAATAATAGATTATTGAGTTTTTCAAATTTTAAGTTATTTAAATATTACAGTAAAGATAACATAAAAATACAGATAATATCTATTTATATGTCAATTTGTCATTTAATAGGTAACGATATTAGCCAAACAATTCCCACAAAAATTAATATAATGAATGGCGTAATCATTAATAAAGTGGTTTGTGGTCAGTATCACAGTCTGTTACTGTCAACCGATGGTGACATATATGCTTTTGGGTGCAACCAATTCGGTCAAATAGGTAACGGTAACAAAATGAATCAGAACTTCCCGTATAAGATCATTACTGGTAATAAGTTTTCAGACATCGGTTCTCATCCATTAAGCAGTATATCAGTTGCCGGCAGTCAAACCACTGGAAGCTGTTATGTTTGGGGCGATTGCGAACCCGAAGCTATAACTGTTCCCCGAGAGACACCACTTCAATCGCTTCACGATATCTTCTCATTTTACTCCAAACGGAAGATCACATACAAACCCATCCATTTTGATGAGCGACCGTCGGTTAACCCGCTGGTCGATTGTATGAGAAAAGCATTCAATGAAATAGAGTCAAGTGATTTCAGGTATGCCATCAAATGTCAATATTTTTTTAAAGATTTAGTGAATGCTTTGTTTTGTCTAAAGATTCAAAATTAACAACAAATTCATTTACGCTCACAAAGCTATACTAAGGATCCGTTGCGAACACTTTCGGTCCATGTTTTCCGAGCACTGGTCAGAGGCCGAGACGTCCGAAATCGAAATTAATATTTTTTCGTATAACGTGTTTTACTCTTTCATAAAATACATTTACACTAATACTGTTGAAATCCGATTGGACGACGCCGTCGAGCTCTACGATTTGGCCAACTCTTACTGTGAGGACGACCTCAAAGAGAAATGCGCGCAAATCATCAAAAATCAAATATCAGTTCAAAATGCAATCACTTTGTATGCCTCAGCGGTTAAGTATAACTCTCAAGAGTTAGAAACGTTTTGCGTGAAGTTTGCGGCTAATAATTTGAATGACGTTTGTATGACTACTGCTTTCGATGAAATTGAACCAAATCTTTGTAAACGATTTATGAAAACTTCGGCAAAATTCAGAGCTTTTAAATAAATAATAATACCGTAAAACAATAGTTTGTTAACTAACTATATATTGTAATATTAGTTCATTAATTTTAAAGAATTTTAATAATAAAATGTATTAAATAAATATTATTGCTTAAATTATATTTGATTAATAAAATCATTTATTAATAATGAAAAATCATATACCAGTGCATAATCTTAATAAAATGAGTTTTAATTATATAACATCTGACTTAATTTATTCTCTATCAAAGAGTATTTATAAATCATGTCTTCATTTAATTTTAAAACTCATTCATAGTTTGTATAAAATTTCATAACTGCTGTATCTTTGAAAATATGATATTTTAACCTAATAGTGATTACCCTAATAGTGATAACCCTAATTAATTTATTCTAAATTACTATATATTTTTACAGGGGTGTCCTTATAGTAAATAGATTTTAATTTACCATTTACTATGAGGACACCCCTTAAAATAAAATCCATCACCATTTATAAAAAAATTGAGCAAAATATAATATATTGAAATAAAATAAAGTTTAAATATAACAGCAGTTTTCATTATTAAATTTCTCGTTTGATAGTAAACTCAACCACAACACGATTTCATGTCCGGTGCAATACCACTACGTTTGGTGATATCCATTGATGTAAAAACCTGTTTAAAAATAAAAAATTTATGTTTAAAATATAAAATAATTCTAAGAATTTAGAAGACATATACTTCAGCACAAGTCGGGTGAATACCAATTAGACCGTCCAAATCAGTTTTAGTGGCTTTCATCTTAAGAGGCAATCCAATCAATTGAGTCACTTCACCGGCATTTGGTCCTAAATAATGAAATCCAAGTAAACGTTCCTAAATATAGATCAAACAAATATTTAAGTAATTTTTAATCATAGTTTAAACATGTCTTTAATGAAAACTAACATTTTCTGATCGCAAACATATAATTTTGGCGAAACAAGAGTTTCGGTTGCGATGTTCAAACTGAGGCACTCTTGCATTTTGCCACTCAAAAGGACAAAACTTTTGGTGATAAACTTCAATGTTGTCTTCACCAAACTCTTTAACAGCCTGTTCCTCAGTATAACCACAGCACCCATATTCAAGTGGTGTGAATACAGTGGTCGGTACGTTCAGATAATCGCACTCAACTGTACTGTTAGCAAACAAGCGACGAGCCAATAAAACGCCCGCTTCAATGGCCACTGGAGTTAACTCAAGTTTTTCATACAAAATATCTCCGACGGCATAAATGTGGTCAATGTTTGTCTTTTCAGAGACTGTTTTGATTTTTCCATTTTTCTCTTTAACAACACCTTTGTATTAAAAATAATTTATTAAAAATAAATAAAATTGAGTGGAAATCAATACCAGTATTTTCGAGACCAATTTTGTCAGTACACGGGTCGCGACCGATTGCAAACAATACAGTATTATATTCCTCAACAATCTCTTCATTAGTGTCAGTCCTATTTGCGGTTACTCGTAGTCTACCGGGTGAGCCCTCCTCTATCCGTTCAATTTTTGTTGGAATACATGGGCGAAGAAAGTTGATTCCTTCAAATGCCATGAATTCTCCCACTTTTTCGGCCATTTCCTGATCAAAACCTCTTAATAAAATCGATCGAACCTTTAAAATAATAATTAATTATAGTTAATATCTAGCAATCAATTTATTAAATTATGAGCAGACATACCATAACCGTGACATCCAAACCAATGCCACGTAAAAAACCGGCGCATTCGAGGGCAACATAAGAGGCGCCAACAACTAAGGTCTTTCCCGGATTGTATGGCATTGAAAACAAATCATCAGAAGTGATGCCAAACTCCTTAGCGCCGACACAATCGGTTGGATATCGAGGTCTCTCTCCGGTGGATATAATAAACTTATCGGCCGTTAGAAAAGATTCGTTGCCTTTCTTATCGATGCACTAATTGTATTACAAAAAAAGACATAATAGTATGCAATAAATAATAGCCTAAATATAACTAAAATTAACCTTAATTTTGTGCGGATCAACAAACGACGCGTAAGAATTGATATAATTAACCGATTGTTCCCTCAGTTGTACCCGATATCCAAAATTAAGAGATCGGATGTAATTCTGGACCTCATCTTTCATATGATTCCAGTCGTGCGGTATATCTATAAATCATTTCAAATGTTTATTAAATATAATTGAAAATAAATAACAATTACTATTGAGTCCTACTTTCCGGTACTTTCCACCCGTAATGTATCGCGTCTTTCAATGTCTGTCCTATAAGTGCCGACGTATGCATCAGTTTCTTGGGAATACATCCGACGTTAACACACGTCCCGCCCAAACCTATTATCAAAGTTTTTATAACAATATTTTTATAGTATCGGTAATAATAATCATTTATAAACCAATAATTTGTTTATTTCAGTCAAAAACTAACCCCAAGTAGTGCCGAGAGGTGTGGGCACAACATAGTCCATAACCGCCACTTTCTTGCCGTACTTTATCGCCTCCTTAGAGGCCGCCAAACCACCCGAACCGCCGCCGATAACAATCAGGTCGTAGTCATAGTTGTGATCTTTCGCTTCACTGATGGGAGGCATGTCTTGTCTGCGGTCTTGAAGTATACCACTTGTGCTGAAACTCTGCGACCACTTGTAATCAAACAAAGATATCTTTGGCAATGATTTAATGGATCGCTTCGGAAGTAATGTCTTCACTAGTCTAGAGATTTGAGTGGTTTTTGGTCTCAAAACAGTCAATGAGTTAACAATTAGTCGATTATTATTATTTGCAATCAAAATCCTATTATTAATTAAAAGTTTAATTATATTAAACATTAAATACAATTAAATTAAAGTATATTATTAGTCATATAACTAGTGTTAGAAATGTGTGATATTTTATAGAAACAACAATTCAATTGAAATTAATTACAGTATACTATGTTATGACAGGAAAATTGCACTTAAAATAAGTACTTAAAAATAGTGCAACAAAAGCATTGCATAACATTTAACACATGTTTGGGTTTTATCATAAATAACATCAAATTTGTTTCAATTATTAATATAAATAACAGTTAATAATTTTTTTATTATAAAATAAAGTAATTTTTAAGTATTTTTAATTTATACCCATTTCATATTAGTACAGTATATCAGTAACAACTTACAGTATATGATATTTAATACATATTTTTATTAAATAATTATTACTGTATTATTAATAATTTATCATATATTTATATAAAAAATACAATATGTAAATGAAAATATTTTTAATGTAAATTTATTAATATTTATGTTGAATTATTTAACTCAAATATTATACAAATAATTTAAGTAAAATTTTAATATATAGTCAATAATAATAATAATTTACAGATTCTATAAACTTAAGTACAGTAGTATCCAATTATTATACATATTTATAGTCTATCTTTAGACTATGAAATTATCAAATAATATACAATTTTATAAATAAAGTAAAAATCATTATGCTTAATTGTCTATGAAATAATAATATTATACTATATGATTGATATATTATGCTTAAATTTTACTAAAATGTAAGTTAAATATGAGTACAATATAAATAAATCAATATTACTGCTATAACTTAATTTTCATTTATATATATATAGTCTAAAAACATAAAATAATATAATAAAACCATTAGAATAAACTTAATTGATTGGTAAATGCAATGTTAGAAATACGATTATTTTTAATATATCATAAATTAAACAAATTTACAAATTAAGTATTTAATATATATATTTATGTATTTATAATATTTTTCCGTTTGAAACACTTAAATCAATTTAATAGTTAAATAATATTAAATTGCCGATAAATTTGGACTTATAAATTATTTGCAAAATTTTATTGATTGAATATTAATTTAAATATTTTATATAAATTTATTGTATTTTAGATAAAATATTATTTAAAAAAATAATTATAACATATTTTATATAGAATACGTTTTATTGAATATAATAAAAGCTTTTATAAACTTTAAAATTAAAATAGTTATTTTTATAATTTTATATTAGTTTATAAAATACAAATATTTTTTGTGGAGAGAGAGAGAGAGAGAGAGAGAGAGAGAGAGAGAGAGAGAGAGAGTTCAAGTAAGTTCGTTAGCGTCCGTATGTGAGATCAGTAAGAAGTCATCGGAGGTTAGGGCGAGTCAGTCAGTGTATTGCCATTGTGTGGGTTGTAATGTAATGGTTATGTGTCACTAATTTAAGATCATTGCACCCAATGTTATGAGTGAAGTCAATAAAATACAATTTAATGGTTTAGTTTTATTTAGTGAAAATATAATATTTAATATAATACTGGTATGTATATTGACCCGAATTATTGTGAAAATAACAACTGTTAGTTTAAAATATAATTATTATAATGATTATATATAATATATATTATAATATAATCCTAATGTAAAGTAATAATTACAATAAAGTTTTATCAAATCTATTTAAATATTTTTATAAATTTAGAATTAACACAAATAAAAATTATTCAAAAATTAATCTTTTGAGATAAAATTATTAGACACGATATAATTTAGTTAAATAATTGTTTAAATAAATCGCTTTTAAATAACAATAATCTCATAAATAAAATCAATTCTTCTGACAGAATAAAGTACTAAAACTAATATAATTTATTTAACATAAACTTTTGGCACTAAATAAATGTTTTTATAAAGAATTGTTTTAAAAGTGTTGTCAAAAATAGTCTATAATTTAGATGTAATCCCTTATAGACGTCATCACAACTCTTCTAATAATATTCATTACTTACCGTAAATATCGGATATCAGTATAAAAGTTAACATTTTTAAAAATATCTTTTAACTTTTAATTATTGATATATTAATATTAGAGATTATATTGATTTAATTAACTAAAATTTTTATAATAAATTCATTTTCTTTATCTAAATTCCTTTTCAGTATATATACAGTAAATATTTTATATACAGTTGATATATATTTTTACTGAAATGAAGGTCAGAAACACTTGTGATTTTATTTTTATAACATTTCCTCAATTGTAGTCAATTTTATCTAAAATTAGCTCAAATTAAATAGAGTCTACTCAGCTGTAGACTCTAAAAAAACAGCAAAAAACAGCAAAAAAAACATGTGTGAGAGAGAGAGTGAGTGAGTGAGAGAAAGAAAGAGAGAGAGAGAGAGAGAGAGAGAGAGAGAGAGAGARAAAAAAAAGAAAGAGTCTATTTAATTTTAGATTCAGTATTTCAATGGATATAAGAAATTTTCGTAAATAAAAATAGTATCAAAACAAACACATCTCTATAATCCTGTTTGAAGTTTAAGAGTCAGCAGAAATAAAAACCAAAAGTTAAGAGTGAGTCAAACATACAGTCTATGATGAGTACAGTATATTAATAGAAGTTATATAAATAGTGATCAAGTTTTGAAAGTTCATTCAAAAATCATGAATTTCATATAATATGTGATAATAAACTTCAAGTAATGTTTTAACTTGTATTTCAACTATTGAATAGAGTATTGCATTCGTAGAGAACTACTTGTCTGCTTCACTACTCAACTAACCAGTGGTTGATTTGAAAAGTTATCTTTAATTACAGTTAAATAATTTTTGAAAGTTTTTTTTTGATAAGATGGCTAATGTTACCAATTGGTGTGTTTTACACCGTTTAAAGCCTCAAATGGTTAATAAAATTAAGTTGTGTTCAATATTTGGTGAGACAAGTAATGAAGTTCTGATGATCACTGAAGATGACAGGTGTTGGGCGTTTGGTACCAATAGATACGGGTGTCTGGGATTGGATCATAATCGGGAAACACCGGAACCACAAATGGTTAACGAGTTGTGTCATAAACAAGTGATGGATATTGCTTATGGTTACAAACATGTCTTAGCTTTAACAGCTAATGGAGATCTATACTCGTGGGGTAACAACACGTTTGGACAGTTGGGTAACGGCACTAATATTGAGTGCTTTCATCCAACACTAACCGGCAAACGTATTGTCCGTATAAGTTGTGGCGCTAACTATTCACAGGTTTTGACCCAATCGGGAGAGGTGTTTTCATGGGGCCGTAATAATTATGGCCAGATTGGTAACGGTACGCACGCCAATCAAATGGTACCGATAAAAGTGCCCGGATTTGATGGACAAAAAATTAGTAATGTCAGTTGTGGTAGCGCTCATTCACTCGCACTCACCGAATCTGGTCAAGTGTACGGTTGGGGTAACAATGCGTTTGGTCAGTTAGGTATCGGTAATAACTTGCATCGCAATGAACCGGTTAAAGTAGACCTAAAGTCAATTTCCATCAAAGACATGGTCTGTGGATTATATCACTCGTTATTGCTTTCAATCACTGGTGATATTTATGCTTTTGGATTTAACGATTGCGGACAACTGGGAACCGGTAATACTGAATCGGTAAATGTGGCCGTAAAGGTCAGTTCACAACACAAGTTTGTTGAGATTGGCTCCGAGTTCTGGTGCAACATATCTACGGGTGTCACTCAAAATGGGTTTTGCTATGTATGGGGTGAATGTCTTAATGAAGACACTATTAGCACACCTCGTGAGACACCATTTAAGACAATTCACGACATCTTTGCCGTTATGTCTAAACGTAAAATAACTTACAAACCGATGAATTTCACAAAACGTCGCGAACGGAATCGTGTGATTGAAAGTCTCAGCAAATCATTTAATGATCCCTTTAATAGTGATCTTTGTTTTAAAGTCGAGAATAAAGTGATTTATGTACAGAAGTGGTTCGTAAAGATCTGCTGCCAATACTTTGATCGCATGTTCAGCACCGATACCAAGTGGTCAGAGAGCGAGTCCAATGAGATTGTTATTAAAGACTATTCTTATAGTGTTTATTATGCTTTTCTTAAATACATTTACACGGATTTGGTTGAAATATCGGTCGACGAGGCCATCGATCTCTTGGATTTAGCCGATTGTTATTTAGAGGACGAACTCAAACAAAAATGTGTTCAATTAATTAAAAATAATCTAACAGTCAATACATTTTGTGATATATATTTGGCTGCAATTAGATATAAATTAATAGATTTTGACAAATATTGTGTTGCTTTTGCTTATAATAATTTGTTTGAAATTTGCAAAACTAAGTCATTTAAGACAATGGATAATAATTTGTGCAAAAATTTATTGATTAGTGTTGCAGAGTTGGCTTAAATAATATTTTATTATAATTATCATGCTAATTTTATTACTAAAAATTAACTTGATAGTATTTCTACTTAGTATTTAATATATATATATATATATATATATTTATTTATTTATGTACAATTTGCAAAATAACTAATTACTGTATTTAAAACAATGTATGTAATTTAATAATTTAATACTAAAAAAATATAAATTGTGATAGTACAATATTTATATACTAATTGAAAATATTTTTTATTTTTACAAAATCATTGTAAATATATTTATAAATCGTATTTATTTATATAATATAAAATATTATAGATTTTATTATATAATATAGAATATTAACATTAAATTTAAATTGTATACAAAAATAAAAAATAATTTTTTTATTTAATTAAGTAATTTTAAAAATCACTATATTATTAATTTTAAATATTTATAAATTGTTAGTTTTGAATATAAATTACAATACAATTAAAATCTGATTTGAAATCAATTAAAGTTTGAAAATTGTATTATCCATTGACTAATTAGTGTTATAAGTTGTAACACAAATGTGATAAATACTTAATTTACACATACAGTAGGTGTCAATCAATATTTAAATTAAAATAAATTTTCAATTATTTTCTAATGAAATATAAAATTAAATGATTTATTTAACTCTTTGATTATTAATACAAAACTATAATTTCAATTGAAATGAATGAATGAATGAATGCTAACGACTCGTAATGTATGAAATGAATGATCACATGATATACACGTTTGAATGCTCTGTCGTCTGTCAATCAGTCAGTCATTTGCAATGCATTGACAACAATAACAAAGACAACAACACATCACTCTATATAACAATACTATAATAATCACAACAACAACAACATTACAGACATATAGACAACAAATGGTCACTCTTTGGCCAATATTTATGATATACGACTGTTGACTGACTGGACATACTTGTGGTCAGTAATGGTATAGCAATGAAAGTGTGGATCAGATAACATATGCAATAGTAATGGTTTATTAGTTATGATTATGTCTTATAATTTGTTTGCATTTGTTATATCTGATGATATAATGACACAAATTATAGCATTGTTTGCAATCATTTCATTGAAATAATTGATTAATTAATTATGTTTTCAATTGTTGTCTAAAAAAGTAGTATTTAATGACATATTTAATGAGTGTTTATCGGTATTTGATATGATTTGATGACACAAACTGTAAATAACAATAAAGATGTTTAGGCTATCATTGAGTCCATCTCAAGACAAGTGTAATCGTCCGCCGATATCGACGCCAATCCGTCGATCACAAGACGAGAGACCTCTAAATATCCAAAACACATATTCACCGAAAGAGACCACTTGTAGTCAATCTGTGACCACATCATTGTCTTCACTGTCACTTTCATTAACGCCAAGACGTCTCAGTGAAGATTTGAGTCGTAGTCCACAAGAATTAAGTCCATTGTTTAAAAGGATTAAAAAAGAGAACAATAACTCACTTCTGATTGACTCTAATTCGTCATTTCTGAAGCAAGAATTTGATACAGAATTGGATTTCAATTCAAGACAACCTTTTTTCAATCTGTTTTCACAATTATCTATTGAAAAGAGTCAACAACAACATCAGCAACAACAACAACAAATGTCTCCATCAATCAGTGGTTCCCCGCTATCAGCTGACAGTCTTAGCAAAGACTTACAGAACAAGTTAAGTATTTGTCAGAAAATTGATGATAAAAGCGATGAAACAATTACCGATTTGTCTTCAATGGCTAACCTTTCGGTAAATGATATGAAAAGAAAAATTAGAAAAAAGATGAAAAAATCAAAACGAAGTAAATCTAAATCAAAAGATACGATTTCATTGAAATCAAATGTATTTCAAACCATTAATATCTTGAATAAGAAGAAAAATAGAAAAAACAAACGAAAATCAAAACGAAATGAACACGAAAAACAAAAACACAATTTGTTTTCAATGAAGTCTTCGGTTATTAAAGAACTTAAAGTGTCGGCGACTGGAGGTATGAGTACAGACTTATGTCAGGCTTTGCTGGTTCTTCGTAATGAAGGTGTGGTTCGCAAACTAAACAAACGCAAAGAATTATATAAATGTTTGTGTTGTTGTGGAAAACGGTTTACTGACCGAACACAAGCCGAAGAGCACATCCAAACACTGGAACACAAATCTGCGAAATACGAACAAAAATTATCAGATATTGACTCACTCTTGGCATTAGATATCGGCAAATGTTCGGACATTGAAGTTATTTTGGCCCGAAAAAGACAATTGTCTCAAATTAACAGAAAAACTAAGGAAATGATGTATTCAAATGGGATTCGTCTGAAGGATGGGTTCGGTAGCAATAATTTTGTTTGTATTCAATGCAATGGTCTGTCTTTATCTTCAGTACAACTGGTGATGGAGCACTTGAAGACATCACCACATTTGGTTTCAAGTAATGAATCATCAATTTCAATAGATTGCACACAAGAGTCGAATCTGACAAATGATGTAAAACCGCTTAAAAGTGATATTAGTCTTAATTTAAGCGGAAATTATGTACAAAATCTATTGTTAGACAATAGTTTAAAACCAAATGTTTGCCAAACATCGAGGCTTTTAGTTAATGAAGGAATCGTTCGTAAGAAATCTCGGCGAAGAAAACTAAAATATTTTTGCCTTTTTTGCGAAACGTATCGTTCGACCGAAAAAGAAATGTTAATACATATTGAGAGCACATCTCATCAAAACTGCAAATCATCTGAAAAGTGGTCCAAAAATATTCAATTAAACAGTCAGTTGTGTGTTGATAGCGAACGCATTGATGACATTGAAGTTAGTTTAGCCCGAAATAAAGTACTGCTTAAAGAGTTTCCCAATGATTTCAAAATACATATCATCAATGAAGGCATTAGACTTGTGGATGGCATCGGTATAAATGCATACCTGTGCCAGATCTGTGGTATGTCGTTGAATGTGGACTTTGCAGGGGATGGACGACGTGCTGTTGAAAATCATTTGAAGAGTGATTTACATGAATTAAAGCGTAAAGATTTAGTCCAAAAAAATAGTTATACAGAATGTGTTAATTTTTTTAATTTATAAACAATTGGTTTTTAGCAAACATTAATTAAATTTAATGAATTTGAAATTAATTATTTTAAATATAGATAAAAACTTTTTAATCAAATGATATCGAAAGGACTTTAAATGTAAATATTGTTTTTTAAACGAAATGAAACATTTGTTGAGATTTTATTTAAAAATTTTGAATAGTTTTCTTTTATATTATACAATGTATTTATATTATACAATGGTTGATATTACAATATTTTCAATAAATTTACTGATCAATTAAATTAAAAATTATGTCTGTCTACTGTATATTTTAGTTGAAAAATTATTTTTATTGTTTTAAATAAAAAATGTATTGATACAGTAAATACAGTATAATGTTTTTATTAGTGTATCAAAAAATAACATTCAAATTTCTTATTATATACTAATTAATAATTAACATATATTTACTTATTTTATAACATAATTTATTATGTAATACATGTATTCTGTATGTATTATTTTATGTAATAAAAAAGTAATTTAAACAAAATTAATATTATTACACAACAGACAAATTTTGCAGAAAATTTTAATAAAAATCGCAAAATATTTTCTATAAAAATTTCTTAAATTTTAAGGAATACTTATAGAAAATAATTTCCTAAAGTATTTTAACAATTTTTAGTGACATTTAAAGAAAATAATTTACTAATCATTAATGAATTTTTTAAACTAATATTTTGTTACATTTTAATAATATTTAGTAAATAATTTCTTGAATAAAATATATTTTATTAACAATTTTGAGTAAAATTTATAGAAATTTGAAGTTTAAATTAACAGAACTACTGTATAACTCATAATTTAGATATTCTTTATATAAGTAATTAGTAATTACAGTATTATATAATTTATAATTTTTAACAATGATTTAAATATTAAATATAAAAACACATTATATTATACCTGTATTAAGCAGATTGTATAAATAAAGCCTGAATGACTTAATTTCAATAAAAATTGATGTTATTTTTTATAAATATAATTAATTTATTCATTTATTACATATACAATATTAAAAAGTATATTAAAGAATAAAGTACTGTATTTTGAAAGTACTGCTTTCGATTCATTCAAATACAATTAGACACTGTTTTTAACAATAAATAAATTACAGTAAAAAATATGATCGTATTTCCTATATTTTGAATCCCAGTGTAAATTGACTGGTTTTAACATTAGGTACAGTAGTTAACACTCAATTGACAAATAGTTCCATCGGAAGGGTTATTCAATTTTCAGAAAATTATATTTATTAATCCAAAATTGGACTAAAATTGATTAATTTATCAAAACATTAGTTATTGATTTGTTTATTGCAAATATAAATTTTGACGAAACATGACCATGATAATAAAATTGTGATTTTTATAATTAATTAAATATAAATATTTTAAAAATTAATTTTAACATTAATACAAACAATAGTTTTTTAGACTATAGTACAAACTTTATTTTAGACTATTATTTTTTTCTAAAAATTAATTATATTTATTATACCTGTAATTATTAATAAACTAATACAAAACATATTTAAAGAAATTTATTTTTGGTTAAGAAAACTTTGTTTTATGTTATTTATTGACTTTATGTTAAAACTGTAACGGATCTCCAGAGGCCACCAATTGATCAGCGGGAGAGTAATTGCCGTTTATCAGGGGTTAATAGCTTAGTTATCAGGGAGGGGGGAATACTTGAACAACAATAAGCGGCACAAACACACTAACAAAACAATACATACAGTGAATATCAAACACTTTATTAGTTAAATTAAATATGGATTATAATGAAACGGGATTGGGATTAATAAACACAGTCCGACAATCTGGTGCCGTTAAATATACTGGATATGAATCATTTTACCCCTCCCTATACCCATTGAAATCGAAAACTTATCGCAACCCTGATTTTAATATATTTTTTATTTCTTTAATTATATATTTCTTATAATTACAATTTAATGATATGATTATAGATATTTATTTGCTAAATGGATAATATTTTATATAAAATTTATTTTTATTCATATTTAAATTTTTTATTTATATTTAATTTTTTTATTCATGTTTAAATTTTTTTATTTATATTTAAATTATATATATATATTTATTTCAATTGAGATTTAATATTACATAATGATAATCTGATGAAATTATGAATATAATAATTATTACTTGTTATGGAAAATTACAACTATTTCAATTGTTGTATTTGATTTACATAAAGTGTCAATAAATCAATTATAAACAAGTATATTGTATTTACGGGAAATACCTTAATAGAAATTATATAATATTTTTGTCAATTAAATGGTATATAAATATGTGAAAACTTAATAATTTGTTTGAATACAACAAACATGAAATTGATTATTATATTAATCTCTGTTTTGCTTGGCTTACAGTTTATTGTTAGCTCTGATATTAAACTGAACTGCAATAAGAATAATGAGAAACAATTGGATGAAGTAATACAAAATCTATATCTATTTGGAGCTCCCGATAGACAATACCCGACCGTCAAAAAAGATATGAAAAAGTTTTGCAGGTTTCGTATCATTTAAATAATAATTTAATATATATTTTTAATGTTTGATTTATATTATAGTGATAACGAAAAGTATCAAAAATTTATTAAAGAATACGGAATTAAATGTAAGAAAGGTTTGTCTAAACAAGTGTTGGGACTAATGATGTATTCGGTGGCTAAACATAGCACTGGTATTTGTAAGTCAAATCAGAGGACAAATGAGTTTCTGAATATTGGTAATTGTGGTAATACTGCTAAAAACGATACCATCAAATGCTGGAAAAATCTTATTAAAGCTGTTGATAGTATTTCATATAATACTAATAATAAATTGAAAATACCATTAATTTGTTGGTAAATGTTATCAATTAAAATGTTATTACTAGCTATTCAATAATAATAATACAATTTTTTAATCAATGTTAGCAATTATTATGTATTGAAAACATGCTCTCAAAAATCATATGAGTCTCGACCTAATCAATGTAATAGTAAAGCCATCGACGGTCACGAAAAGCTATTAAATGCCTTCGCTTTGGACACACTTAAGCTATTGTGCTCTGAATATAACGAAGACAACGACAAGTGCGACAAAATCATATCACAAACCGGAGTCTCAAAACTTAAGGTTTTACCGAAATCACCGATTGTTCCGTTTATTAAAATACTTGAAGAACTCGATTAATAAATTTCTATAATATATTTAAAATTATAATATATAACACAATCTTACAAAATATACAGAATATTTGTTTTTATTATTAATAACTTTTTAATGATAATAAAATTTTTTGTATATTTATTATAATATTGAGATTTTAAAAATAAAATTAATAGCAATTGATCAAAGAATTATTATTATACAATTGATTAATTAATAAATAAAAATAAATCTATAAAACATTTAAAAATTATTAATTTGTCATTGATTAAGTGCATAGTATTTTTATTAATTATAAATTATATAAACATTAAAGTAAAATAATATAATTACTATATAATAAAATTAATAAAGTTATTTGTTAATAAAGTCATAATATTCATAAATTTATGTTATAAATAAATTGTTAAAAATCTGTCAAAAATTTTTATATATTGCAATACAATATAACAACGATTGGGTATTTTGTGACCTTTAACTGTCATATCACTCAAAGTTTTTTAAATTAATATAACGTTAGAATTTAAATGATATTTATTAAACTATCATTTAATATAATAATAATAATAATATAATATTTGTAAATAACAAAAGAAATCTTTATTATTAAAATATAAAAATAATTTTGAAATCAAATGTGTAATATTTTGTTATTTGTAAAGTTTATTATAATCTCAATTTTTAATGATTTAAATCTTAAGACATTTATATGTTATTATTATATTACAACACATCCGGTCTTTTGTATCAATAGTTTTTAAAAAATATATTTTTTCAAATATTTTTAATAGTTTTATATAAAATATTATAATATAATTTAATATATCGTTAATGTGTCAAATATACAATAAATCAAAATTACAGATAATATAATATTATAAAATACAATAATATAATTTTTAATAATTAATTATATAAAATAGTTATATAATAATTAATTATATAAAATAGTTATATAATAATTAATTAAATTTATAATAATATAATAATTAAATTAGAGTTGGCATAAATTAATAGAATAAACATTTTATTTTTTATTCAAAGAAATTTACGAGGTTTAACTGTATGTAAATTTCTTTTAATTTATACAAATATAGGACGCAATTTTAGAAAAATACTTATAATATTCTTATAAATAGTGAGTTTTTAATAATATTTTTTATATTATTTTTTATTTTTTGTCATAAAAATGTTTTCAAAATATTCAATATTAGTTTCAAGTATTTTACTTATTATAATACATTTCATACCATTTAATGAAACTGTATTTACATTAAATGAATTTTCGACATTAATTCGGGCAAAAAAGTTATTATTACGTGAATTACCAAAACTTATGAGACATGAGTCGACTGCACATCCAAATTATGACCGACCCATGACTTCACAACAAAAACCATTTCATCAGACGATATCTCAATTACCTCAACAATCAATGTTTGATTTGTTAGACGACAGACAACAACGACCATTAATACGCAACGGAAGACAAACCGACGGCAAAGTGACGGCAAATAAAAATATGAATGACGTGAATGTCATAAATACGGGTTTGTTTGACAGCAAATCGCTTATGAATTTAATTGGATTAAAACAAAAGATTATTTCAAATATCTCTGTTTTAATCCGTCGTCTAATCGATGAAATAGCGCTTACTTTGAGACTAATATTGAGAGTATTTACGACACCCTCTACTTTAGATACCAGTGTTCGTCAACTAACAGATCAAAGTCAAGAATTCTAGCTTTAAATGAAAAAATGTTAATAAATATTTAGATATACTTTTTTAAAAGTTTTATGACTATTGTTGTGAAATATAAATATGTATTTTATTGAAGGATATTATGATATATTTGTTAAAATTACAGCACATTACCAATGTTTTGGTAAATCTTATGGTTACATATGAATGTATTAATAATAAGTTATTTTAAATGATAATCATTATTATTAATAAACCCTTAATTATTTGCACAAAAATTTTTGATGACAAATGTTATTATTATTGATTAACTTAAGGAATTTTATTATTTTATAAAATTTTAATTTATGTAATAACTTATTATATTTATATTAACAATAAATTAACATTTTTAATTTTTAAAACTTTTTAATTGCATATGAAATTAATAAATTACAACATTTTGTTATATTAAACATAAAAACATTTGTTAATAATTATGTATTGTTAGTGTAAAAAAATAAACAAATAATTATTTTATTTTTTATTATGATATTAAAAAATTGATTAAAACATTGAAAAGATTTGTTTTAAATCACTTAATACTTTAGTGTAAATATATCTCCAAATATTTGTGGCGTTAATAAAAATACTTCAAAAATCGTTATAATATTAATTAATGAAACATTGATTTGAACATAACTTTTTTTTAAAAGTAAAAACATTTTTTTCCTTAAACTTATTGCCTTATATGAAAATATAAATACACAAATGTATAAATTATAGATATATACGGTACTTACAAATAAGAAAATTATTTTAAAGATTTATTAAATATTGTTTTAATTTTATTTATTATTATTGATATTTTGACAATAAATAATTTATACACAAAAAATGGACGATTCTAATGATGAGATTTATGATAAAAAGTTTTTATCAATGCAAGACTCACTAGCAGTTTATAAAAAACAACAAAATGATTGTAATAATAATAATAATAATAATAAAGAAGTCAACAAAAAGACAGTTATGCGGCACATATCCGAGTGCTCTGAAACTACTGAAACTGTCAGTGATATCACTGATTTTGATCCAATTTTAACAAAATTTGATAAATATTTTTATACATTTTTACTATGCTTTGCTAATATGACCTATGTAAGTTTTACAAAAATCATAATTACTTAATTATTAATTAGTTTAATTTTTAAAATAATTTTATACAAAATATAAGGGAATATCGCTGACAATTATGTCGCCGGCATTACTGGACTTTACATGTATTATACAACAAGAGGCTGAAATTGTAACACATTATTATACATTATATGCAATCGGGACTACAGTCGGATCTTTGTGTAAATATTTATTTATAATAAAAATTATAAACAAATTAATTAAATAATTTCAAAATTTATATATTTTTTGTTATTTTTTAATTGTTTATTAGTTGGCTTTTTATTTAAGTATATCAATCGACAATTAACTTTAATACTTGCGTTAACATTGTTTGGTTTGGTAACTGCTTTATTGCCCATAAGCCCTAACTTTCCGGTAATGTATTTGTTTGGACTAATCGGTGGCATTGGTGCCGGTGTTTTAGATATTGTCCAAACCGTTTGGTTGATTGAGATGTGGGACACAAAAAGTGGATCAATATTGCAGTTATCAGAGTTTGCTTATGGATTGGGTATCACTGTTGGACCACTTATTGTTGAGCCATTCATCTCCGGTAGACGATTCATATGTTATTATTTAATAATAAAAGATTTATTTAAAAAACAGGAAATAAAAAATGTTTGGATCAAAATATAAAAGACTCCATAAATTATAGTAAACCACTGTTACCTCCATTTATAACCAGCGGATGCCTTCAAATATTTGCGGCGTTTCTCTTGTTATTAATGTATTTATTTCGTAAATATATTCCTACGAATCGATCGGAAGAAATTCAAATGATTGAACACGAAATCGAAGAAGTGTTGAAACCAATTGAACGYATATATCATCGGAGATATACTGTTCAGATCATTGAAGACAGAGTCAGTGAATTGAGAACCGGATCGATGCGAGTAAAGCATAATAAAGAGCCCAGATTTTCAATACAAGTCACAGGTTTTAATCCAAATGAGGACAAGGATTCAAAATGTATTCACTCTGTGTCCCGGAAAAGACGATTTTCATCGTTTCAAGTAATTGATAGTTTATACCCAAATCAATCCAAACTTCCTCGAAATCTAATCATAGGTTTGGGTGCCATATGTTTTGCCACAATAATTGTATGCGAGGCCGCCTTTATTGACTTTTCCCCAACATTTTTTAGAATTTATGCAAATATACCAGGTTGGTTTTATTTATTAATTATATATAATATCTTATACTTATTAATAATATTTTAAAATAATTATGTTTTATACAATATAACCAAATATTATTTTCTTTCATATAATTTAGTTATAAAAAATGAAAATATTTTTATTTTGTTTTTTCTTATAGTATTATTTAAAAATATTATAGTTTTATATTGAATACAAAATAAGATTTTTTTACTACAGTATAATACATACATTGCTATTAAATCCTATAATAAATTATATATTATTAAATATATTCTTTTTAGTCATAAATAATTATAAATAGATAACTAATGTTAGATATTGTTAAATCAATTTTATTAAAATTAATAATATATAATGTATAAATTAATAATATATAATGTTTATCATAACTAATAATCAATACATGTTTTAAATTCATTGCGATAATACCTTTTATCCCAATAGGATATGAAACGGCAATATTATTATCAGTGATGACAGCCTCATATACTCTGACCCGTGCTGTCAGCATATATGTGGCCATAAAAGTGAGACCCGATTATATATTATGCGTTCATTACGTGATTTTATTTATAAGTATAGCAATCCTATACTTTTCAAATCAAAACGTTATAGTTATGTGGTTTGGAAACATATTATTCGGTAAAAGTCATAAACATTTTTTTCAAATCTCATTAACACTTAATTCAAAATATAACATTTTGTAGTTAATCGTTTGAAAACAATTAACAATAAAACATGTGTATAAATGAACTTAACTTTAGGTTTATCAATTAATACATTATATATTTGATGATCCGGTTATTCAACAATATCAATTTTAATATACTTTATGTCAATTGTGGATATTTAATTAATCCTAGCATTGATATATGGTATCTTATTTTTTAATCTACAGTAGTATAGTTGTAACATTGTATGCATATTATATAATACTATATTACAAAATAAACAAAAATTTGTAATAATTATCAAACATACTATAAAAATCTAAATTAGAAATAAACATCAATAATATAAAGTAGAATAGTTTTG